GTGTTTTTGGGGGGGAGGGGTTTGCAGCACAAAACAGAAGCCCAGACCAGCCCTGCCTAGGAGCTTTTTCGCAGGACAGCAGGGGGCCAAAAGGGCATAGATTGGAGAAAGTAGGCAAGTGGGGAGAATTGAAGCACCCCTGTGGCTGTAAATATGAGCAGGCTGCCAAGCGCCCGAATTTTAATCACATGACCTCAGGGGCATTTCCACAGCCATATCTTTGGGCACTGGTCATAAGTCACTTTTTTCAGTGTGTTTGTAACTTTGAACGGTCACTGAACAAATGGTTGTAAATAAAGGACTACCTGTACTGGCAGAAGGATGCCTTTAATTGTTGCATATCGTAAACAGAGGAAAAATAGCATTTACATATCACCTAGTACTTAAGTTCTACTCAGTCATGTGTAACTTCCTATTCGGCAACTTAAAATTATTTTGGAAGGTAGCTTTAACTGAAGTTATTACAGAAAAGCAATAGCATTCTTTTAAAGTTTTCTAGTTTCTCAGTATAGAATTCCATAAAGTAAACAAACAAAAGAAAATATTGATGCTGTTTCTAATTTCTGGCATTTTACTGCACAGTTGACCTCTATAGTTTGGGTGTATAATTGTTTTTCTTTCCCACATCTCTGCCACAAATTCTGTTAAGCCTCAGTCTTGTACTCATCTGTCAACCGTAAGACCTGCTAAAATTAAATGGATGTCTTATAAGGAATTAAGTATGGATTACACTTCATAGATGTGTAAATTGTACTGAATAATTCTTAATCTTTCTGAGTTTGTAATTAACAAGATTACAAGGAAACAAAACCATTCTCCAAAAATTGAATAAGAAGTAAAAGGGTTAGGTTTGGTGAAATAAAAAAAAATTAGTTCTCATACAGCTTCATACAAAATGAACAACAGTGCTAATATAGAAAATCTATTTGCTTCAGCTCAGGTCTTACTGCAAGAAGAATCAGAGAACTGTACTCAGGTATTACTTTGAAAAACTTAGCACTGTATGTTTTTTTAATTTCCTTAGCAAGTCAAATTCTTTGTTAATTACAAATCCTGGTTTCAAACTGTGGCTTGTTAAAGGAGAAAGAAACTTTCTGTGATAAACTTTTGGTTAGTATAACTCCCTGTAGGAGGAGCCCATTCAAAGTTTATGTACAACAGTGTATATCAGCATAGTTGCTTGCTAATCATAAGGTAGAATTCATAGCAGTTGTTGCCAAATGCTCATATGTACCTTTGCAGAAAAAAATGTCTTAACATTTAAAAGCCATGGTGATGTCAAAATTATGTTCGATGATGCAAATGACTTGAATAAAATACCTGCATCATTTTGTATCATGATGCAAAAGAACACTAATATGTCATTTGAATCATTTGTGCCATGTGACGATGCATGCAACATCTCTTGCCCTTACATCTGTGGATGTCCATGGATACATCGAATGTGTATTTTAAATAATTTAAACTTATTTCTTTATGTGTTATTCCCAGTAATACTGGCTATTTTACAAGAACTCACACGTTGAAAATCTTTCTTCCCAGATCATTCCACGTCAAGTGGTACTTCCTCGTTTAAACCCAGCCGCTCCTTGGCCTCAATTCCCACTGCCCATGTAATGCCGTCTAATACCAACACTTCGCTTTCAAAACACAGGGATCCTCTCAAGTCTGACTCTTTGAAGTGGAGCACAAGCATTTTGAGATCTGCTCAAAGCAGGCATCAGGGCATGATGGACAGCTCTCTTGATATGAAAGATTTGAGGCCTGTAAGGAAGTGGTCATCATTGTCCAAACTCAGCACGCCTATTAGTTGTAACCAGGATGGGGGTGTTTATTCGGCAGAATGCAGGGCCAACTTGGATACAAATGGAAGAGACAAGACTGTTTCACCACAACTAAGAACAAGTGGATCAAGTTGCTTGTACAATAGTATGGAACGATTAAAGGCTGAGGACAGAGAAAGTGGGAAGAAAAAGAATTCTACCTTGAACTGCAAATACAAATTTGAAAGTTGCAGCCAAGAAGACTGGGGGGTTCCTGATTCCTCAAACAGGAGATATGCCTTAGACATGACCTATAGTGCCTTACCTGAAAGCAAGCCTGCTCCATTAAACTCTGAGGTTTTTCATCAAGAATATATAACTTTGGAACCACAGGCTGCAGTCCCATCCCAGGTTTCCATTCAAACTTCTGAAAGGACTCAGAGGTGGCTTACAGAACAATTTCATACAAATCCTCCAGAATCCAGGCCTTCCGAGGAGTCATACAGCTTATCTCCATGGCAGTTACAGCAACTTGAAGAACTTAGAACAGGAAGTGAACATCCTTTGCAGGTAAGAATCAAACTTCAGTGTTTGCTGCCACCAAGTGGATAGAGAGAAAAATAATCTCAGACATCATTCTGTTCAATGAATAAGCTTGTATCTGCTTATTTTAATTGAAATGAATTGAGATTAGCAATTGCTATAAAATGCTGCTAACAGATTTCACTTGATTCATCTCACTTTTTTCTTTCTCCAAATGTAAATATTATTGGAAGGGACATTAAATATGAATACGTAGCTTGGATAGGCATCCATCGAGGGGCAGTGATGACAGGTGTATGACTATGTTGTCGCACAAATGCTGCAATTTATATACTTGTGTCACATGTCACACAAATATAGTCATATTAAGCTCTTGGCAGCCTATTTCAACCAAAAGCAAGATTCTCCTAGCATTTCCTTCAACAAGATTTATTGAAGGGAAATGGAATAAAGTTGCAGAAACTTCAGCAACTGGGCTGCTTTCACTTTAGAACCCACTTGTTAAGTCAGAGACTTCTTAATTTTTTTTTTTTAATCCTAACAGCCTATTTGTGAACCAGTGAGAAGTGTGTTCATTTCCCTGATAACTGATAACCTAATGTGCAAGTGGCCAGTCTGTGAATCTCTCTCAGACTCTAAACATACCATTACAGGTCACTTTATGTCTGATGGCCACATATGGCCATACAAAGAGAGGGGGCAAATGGCGAAGGGTTATAGACATTCTTTAAAACAGCAGCATATTTTCTTCAGGCTTACACAGATGCCTGTAAAACGATGGGCTGCTTCATGTGCGAGATCAGGAAACATGTTTGAAGTTTTTTTGTTTTTTTGTTTTTTGGTGGCTTCAAGTCATTGTTGACTCCTGGCCAGTGCCTGGACTAGTCCCTGCAGTTTTCTTGGCAAGGTATTTTGGACGTGGTTTGCCATTGCCTGCTTCCTAGGGCTGAGAGAGAATGACTGGCCTAAAGTCACCCAGCTGGCTTTGTGCTTAAGGCGGGACTAGAACTCAGGGTCCCCCGGTTTCCAGCCTGGTGCCTTAGCCACTACACTAAACTAGTTCTCTTGGAGCATACCAGGTCCTATTTTTTTATTTGTTTGTTTGCTTATTGCTGCAATTTAAATGCTGCTCAATTCCAAAAAGGCTCTGAGAGGTTTCACTGTTTTTGCAAAGTTAGAATCTGTTTCAGGTGACCAGTTGCAGAGAAACACATCCATCTTCTCCCATTCATCTATATATTTAGCTCAGCTTGAGAATTGCAAGCTCTGACATTTTGTGACTAGACATCACTTATTCAGCCAGTGCACCTCAGTCACCCTGTGGTTCCATATTGCATACTAATATATCAAAATGCCAGTGGTTAAGATGTCATCCGTAATTTGGTGTAGAGTTCTGGGTAATTCAAAAAGAATCAGTGTTCCTTTGCAGTTCAGGTTAGTTGAAAAACAGACTGCTTCTTAACTTAGGTCCTTGATTCACTTCATTCCAGTCAGCCAAAACTCTGCAGAGTGATTTTAGGGCTTACTATGGCAGTAAATATGAACATCATGGTTAGCATCAATTGTGCACTGAACTTCTGTGATCTCTGCAAGGAGAAATTAGAAGCTGCTCTTCCTATTTTGCAGTAGAAGCTGTAAAGGGGAGAGAGAAAAGGCACCAATGTGGAAGCTATGGCAGTGTTTCTGCCTACCAGTAAGAAAGAAGTGCTTACATTTGTGTAGCATATACATGATATAATAATTTATTAGGTAATTAGCATTGATAAACTTAGTTTTATTTATTTAGCATATAGCACTTACATTATTTAATAATAATTACTACAACCCTATAAGGTAGGCTGTTCTCTTTCTCCGTGTGGTGGAGGGCTAAGGCTGAAGGGAAGAAGTAGTGTTTTGGCTAAGTCATTTAGTGAGTTTATAGTAGAAGCAAGATTAGAAGTAAAGTCTTAGCTGCTTCTTAGCTACATCACTACAACAGTTGACCACAGAACAGATTTGTCAGATATATCATAATTAGGGACAATAGTTGTATAACAGTTTCATTTAACATTGCCAGTGTGACACAGAACAATAATAAATGATATGAGAATAATCTTAATTGTAACAACATTCTGTAAGAACTGTCTTCCCATTGTAAATAGTAGGTCTGTCTCCTTCCTTTGCTCAACAGGATGAGGGTAAAAAATTAAAACACCCTACCTCTGTGTCATAATTCTAATATGGTCAGGACCCTTTGCTAGTTGTTAGTAATGTAATATCTTTAAAAGAATATAACGGGGGGGGGAGGGGTTGATTCACTGTTATTTAGAATGTTTTAATAAGATTATTTTTCTTTAATAACTTTACATATCCTACAGTGGTGAAGATTCATTTCTGTGCCTAAGTTTTACTGTGTGTTGTGAAAATTATTTTATACTGAGAAATAGTGGAAGTCAAAATCTAATCAAGTCATTTAATTTGCTCCCCCCCCCCCTTTTGGGCTTTTTTCAACCTTGTGATATCGGTGCCACTCAGCTAGTGAGGAAATTAAAATAATTAATATTGTCTCACGTTTTTGTCTGTCGAAAAGAAAAAAGAAGGAATGCATTATCTTCTTTTTCATTATTCAACAAAAGTTGTAATTTTGATACATTACAATAAATGACATGATAATGTATTGGTAAACCAATGTATTTCTTAAAGTATTAGTATGTTCTGACTTTTGCTTTATATATTACATATGTGTGTAGCTTTTCTACTAAGTATAGCCTTCCTATAAATCTCAGTAGGATGCAGCAATTTAGGAAGACCTGTGTTGATTGCTCTAGAAATTCCTCAAAATGTAAAATCTCTAACTGTATTTCAGGTCATATTTAAATAAGTGGCAAAAAAAAAAATAGAATAATATGATTGTGTTTTCATTGACAACACTCCAGGCTCCAGAAGCCAATGCTAGTGGCCTAAGTAATGTTGAGAATGGAGAGGTGTAATCTGTTAAAATAAATGTGAGATTTAAAAATAACTAAAATATAGATGAGATACTCAAATGTGTATGAAGATGTCAATATAAGTATATACTCAGGCATTCTACCATGTTTCTAGATTACCAATAACTTTTTGTTGTAATTATTTATATTTCTGAAATGATTATGAAATTCTGTAGTTGTTTTCTGAACATATGGCATCCAGCTTACTTCATCTTGTAACAAATATTACATTGCCAATTTTCAAGCTTTTGAAAGTGACTCTTCCCCTTAGATGGGCATGCAGGCACATACCTCTCACAAATGCAGGTAGTCCTTGCGTTACAACAGCAATTAGGACTGCAATTGCCATCCTTAAGCGATGCGATTGCAAGATGTGACATTATGTGACCATGTTGCTTAGCGACAGCAGATCAGGCAGTCCTGATTGCCATTGTTAAGTGAGGACTGCACGGGTCATTAAGCAAGGACCGCACATGACTGTGACTTCCAACTTCCTGCTGGCTTCCCCATTGACTTTGCTTGTGAGAAGCCGGCAGGGAGCATTGGAAATCATGATCACATGACCATGGCTTGCTGCAATATCATAATTGCGAGCCAGGTGCCAAGTGATCATGTGACTGCAGGGACACTGCAACAGCCAACACTCCCAGGATCGGTTGTAAGTTCCCCTTGTTCAGCGCCATTGATAAGTTTGAATGGTGACTGAATGAATGGTCATAATCCAAGGACCACCTGTATATTCAATGATACAGGTGTATTCTATCATACATAACATGTCTAGAGTATAAGTTCACTGGGTGTTTCATTTCTGTGTAAAGCATAGATAGAAAGCTAAGAAAATGTCAAAGTGGCTTACAAAGAAATTGTGCATTCTTAGTTTCTGAAGTCTGCTTGAAATTATAATTATGCATATGCATTCTCATCACAACAAAAATCAACGAATAAATCTTAGAGACATATGTTCTAATTTTCTTTTAGATTCCTCTTGTCTGGCATGGAAGACATGTGGAGCAAGTAATTGAATAGGACTTAGTCTGAAAGTTTCTAACAGTAGTGGATTTGAGAGACAGACCCCCAAAATATCTTGTGGGGCTTTCTGTTGTAACATAACTAGAGACAAGCAGACTTGGAGGTAACTTAAATTAACTATGGGGTTAATATGCTTTTAATGAAAAGGATATTCTATGGTTTGCTAAAAATGTTATTAGAATAATATTTATTCTATAAAACTCTATTATAGCATATTATAATAGAATATAAATGCCCTCTTTTAATATTAAGAATAGTTAGCAGTGTAATCTTATGTATGGTTGTTCATAAGTAAGTCCCATTGTGCTCATTTTATTCCCTTGTATGGGTATCCCCATCAAATAGCGGGAATACTGAATACGTATTTATTTGTCTTTAAGTATTTTTTCTACTTCCTCTAAATGGCTGTTTGCCCTCATCCCTGATGTAAAAGTCACTGGTGATTCCATGTTCGCATTCCATTATTTTCTTCCTGTAGATAATTCCATGTTTGTTTTTCCTTTTTTCTACTTTATGTTTCAGATTGTGCTGTTGATCTATCTGTTCCATTGTAAAAATAGCATTTTTCATTTCTCTTAATACAGTGAAAGCTTCCCTGATCTGCAGGGTGTTAGGTTTGGGCTTTTCTGTCTTGTTCGTTTTGTTATTTATATTCATACAGTTTGAAGGTTCAAGTTACCATGATGGCATAAATGAAGACTTTAAAACATCTCACATGAGCTTCACAAGGATGAACATAAGAACAAGAACCAAGAAAATAAGTAGAAAATTGAGTAACAGGTTGAGGCCTCTATTTGCAGCAAGATCCATTGTGGCAAACTTTGTGTTTGTTTTGCTTGCAGTAGAAATCTTGATTGCTGTTTCAGGCAGGTTCAGTTTCAATCACAATGAGTTACAGTTGACATATGTGTGGTTGCAGTACTCTTGTGTGAGCATTTCTTGACTCCAATATGAGCATTTATTGTCCAACACCTAAGAGAAAATGATTAGTGAGCAACAGCTAATGTGAGTACACAGTGATACCCCTTTCCCAAACTCACCTTGAAAGAAAATACAGGCAGTGATTTAATAAGCAATAATTTACCATAAAGTCCATATTGGTATTACATTTTCATGCCAAATAGGAAAGAAAACTTCTCCCATCCAACAGATGTCACAGTTTAATAAATTGTATTTAATATTGATTAGCTGCTTCAAGTTACAGCAGTACTCACAGCATTGTTAATTATCTGCTCTTGTCCTAAATACTGTTAACATTGTTTATAAAAAAATTTAATATAGAAAGCTATATTATTAAACCACTGATTAAATGACTGATTTCTTAGACACACTTGTTCAGTGCTGTGTGCTCGGATTTACTCCTCAAGGCACATTTTCAATTATAATCAGGTACCCACATGTTCTTTTCAGTCCTTGCCTTATCCCTCTTCTCTGATTTGGAAGCCATTAAGGGGCTGGTGCTACCTTCATATTTAAACTGAATTTGGCTAAAGACTCAGTGAGTCAGTTCCTACCTTCTCTCAAGCTCCAGGCTGAAGAGTGAGGTGGATCATTAGATACTTGGAGCATAAGGTCTTATAATCTTTAGGAAGGGAGATATAGAAAAGTTTGGATTACGCTCTGCCAAAAAAAGGACCAGTTTCTTGTTTGGGAAATTGGATGAGTCATTTTGGCTACGTTTAACTGTAGTGGAAACGGTACTTAAAATACTCCCCATCAAAATGAACCCAAGCTTTCCTTACAGCTCCAGAGTGAAAGTTTGAGCGTAGTTTCTGCTCCTCCTCCCCCTCCTCCTATTTTTTTACATATATGTAATGTATGTAAATATAAAAAAATATGGAGCTGGACACAACTTTTTGCTTCTGAACTCCTGCAAAACTGAAAATCAAGTATTAAGAATTCTGTTACCGATTACAATTCTGTTTAGATTTATTTGGAATTAACTCTGTTGAATAGAATGGAATTTACTTCTGAGTAAATATCAATGAGGTTACTTTAATAGGGAGGATAGAGTTGTAAAATCTATAAATTTTGGCTTGATTACTAAAGCTAGTCAAAATGCATGGGCTCCTGATAATAGGATTAATCATGAGTGAGTGAGTTATTATATGAAGGGTTATAATTCAGAACAAGAGTTTCTTGTAGTTTGATTTCTTTTCCAGGTCTCTTATATTAGATAGTATAACTTGGCTACATAGGACATCCTACCACCATTAACTATTTTTATTTTTGTTTGGTTTCAGCTGGAGTGTTTTAAGCATGTACTTTAACCTCCTGGCATAGGGTGTTTTACTTTTTAATAAAAAGTGGCATAAAAATTCAAATTATATAAAATATCATTTTTCAAATTAGATTTAATAAGACATTGTTACTGTGGTCTCTCAGAAATTACATGATTGTATCTTTTTTTAACAAATGGGAAGATTTCTAATTTCCAGGACTTCCATGATGATGACCTTATTTTTCTGCTATGGTGTGAAAGCTTTGCATATACTTTGGGTATAAAGACAAGATGCTTTATAGCAATTAGTCTTGCTTTTTGTATAGCAGCTTTTTATTTTTAAACTTGTGTGCTTTTTAAATATTCCAGTGATGGCCTTTGAACATCATTTGGAACAATTATGTGATTTTAGATTAGCAAAGAATGCACCATAGGCAAAATCATATGTGGAAAAAGAATGTCATTTGGTCAACATTTCCTTCACATATTTGTGAATGTGATGTGATGCAACTGAGCATTGTTTATCGAGCCTTCAGAAGTAAGGAAAGGTTTCAGTGAGGCTATTAAATGCACAAAGATGGAAGAGTACAGAAACACCAATAATGGAGGAATGGATTATGAAGATGGCTGAGTTTGCAGAAATGGCTAAATTGACTTGTTTGATTAAGAGGGGAACTAGAATGGATTATGAAGATGGCTGAGTTTGCAGAAATGGCTAAATTGACTTGTTTGATTAAGAGGGGAACTAGAATGGATTATGAAGATGGCTGAGTTTGCAGAAATGGCTAAATTGACTTGTTTGATTAAGAGGGGAACTACAATGACTTTTATAAAAGGTTGGAAAGCCTTTATAGACTTTTTGCTGCAAATTGATAAAAATGAACTGATTTTTGGATTTATTGATTAAAAAGGTTTGTTTATGGGAAGAAGGGAACTATGATATGTAGTATGGGAGGGTGGAGATGGTAATTGCTATGTTTGTAACTGCTGCAAAGATGATCAGAAGTCACTTCTTTACATACCTGTTTCTTTTTTGTTGTTCTTTACTTTTTCTTTTACCCTTTTATAATATCTTTTTCTATTCTATATTTCTGTAGTTTTTTAAATCTTTGTAAAATCTTTTAATAAAAATTATTCATTAAAAAAAAGTAAGGAAGGGTTGCTAGGTAATTATCTAGCTATACATCTTCCAATTTTTGCTACCGGAAACATGTACAACATACTGTAACTGGATATAAAGGGAGCAGAATTTTGAAATTCAGTCTTAAAATTGAAACAGTTGGTCATTGAGAATAAAATACATTTATTTTATACATTGATAACCTGCTTTTCCCTTTATCATGGAATTCAGAGCAACATATAGGGAACTTGCAGCTTTTGTTAGAATGATGAAAGTGAAATTGTGCCACAAGCTCTTCCCCTTTGGGGCATGCGTGCAATGCCACAACACTGTTGACATCAGTCTGACAGTTCCTTGCCCCCCATTGCAAATGCTGCCTCCAGTGGATTTCCTGTTTAGATACTTCTGGAAACCACATGCGCCTTGAAACCAGTATTTGATATCTGATAGTTGATATTGTTCATTATGCAGTTATTGGTTATTTTGTATAAATGAGCCCTGTTCAGCATGCAGAAGCCAAAATTGGACAGGTGAGAGAAGGTCTTGAAATAGGCAATAATGATCTGAAAGCAGCTTGTCTCAGTAATCTAAAACATAATCAAGTATTAAGGAAAAGTTCCTCCTTTCCTTTTCAGTTCATTTCAAACTTCAAAAATAGACTCATAGCTCCAGTTTAAACAGGGAGACAAATTTTCAACAATAATGAGGACTACAGAACTTTTGCTAAAATTCTGTAGAGTCACTGAATTAAATCATTTATTAAAGTTTATTTCTAGTGAGTGACAGAACTATCCTTGCTTTAGATTTAATTTTGGCATGCTTGATTTATGGTCAAATAATATTTTGTGTTGCACAAAAATGACTGAACTCATTTTAATGTATTCAGCAGTCAAACTTAAAATAAACAGAAGTAAACCAGAATATCTTGTTAAACAGTTAGCCTTCATTTTATTTTAGAAACAGTTTGGAACAGGTTGTTTCTCAGTAGGGAAAATAAATTCATACGTGACATAATTGTGGTATGAAGAGTACATTCTCAATGTGTGGAATTACTCTAATAATGTAATAAATCATTAGACATTTTTTTCTTACCACCTCAGTTCCTCAGTTATAGTGATATCATATACATATGCAGTTAAAGTGACAGCCTGTACACTTCATAGAAGTGATGAGCTCCTTGTCACATGTTCCTAGTCCCATTGCCTTCCACTCTTTAGCACAGTTTACTGCAACCGGTTTTAATCATAATTAGGCTTATATTGGTCTTAGCAACAATCATTTTTAAAATTAATTTGTTTAATTTAAAACTAAAACTAATTTAAAAATTAGTTTAAAGCATTTATTAATAGTAGGCCAAATTACTTTCAGGGTAAGATCCATGCCTTGGATTATCTTTTCTTTGTTTAAAGCTGGTAGGGAGATCTGTGCAGGAGACCACAAAATTGAAACTTTACTTAGAGTCCTTAGTTCACTCAGTTTGTTAAAAACATTGTATGTGTATCAACTGTGTGTGAATTCTTCTCTATCAAACTTTTCTTTTAAAATATTAATATTATAATTATTTGGCTTCTCTGTAGGTAGAAACAAATGCATTTTTATTGAATTCTCCAGGTGCCAGTTTTAGAGAAGAAATTAAAGGACCAAAATGCACAGAACATATCAGAGTCAAGATTTTTAAAGTATAAATATTTATTTTGATTAACTAGATTTCAGCAAAATGCAAAGCATTTTTATCAGTAATTTCACTTAATTTTATATTTGGGAAAAGTATTGAGATCAAATTTAATCCTTTGCTTTTTTTTTAGCTGTGCAAAAATGCTATATGTTATATGCAATTGGACAACAGGTGAGCTTCTAATGCAACCAATCAAAAGCTGTTGTGCAGATATTCTTGTTTGCTGGGATGGATACTTTGTGAAACAAAAACATGAAAGGTGTTTTGCAAGAATTCACCATCTAGACCTTCTGTTAAATTATGTGAATGAAGAGCAACTGCATAATGAAAGGATCACCTGGGGGATATCCCTAGTGCTACAGGAGAGAATATATTTGATATTTATAAATATATCAAATATCTAAAGGTATATTTATATTTGGCTGCAGTCCTCATCAGAATTCTTGCTTTTGCTTGCTTTTGACTATATGTCTATTAAAATACTTGTATTTCAGTTGAACAAGGCAGTAAATATGCAATACTTTATTGTCATTTTCAAAGCTTACGTCATGAAAGTGTAGGGGAAAAGTTAATAATAGCTTCAGTTAACAATCCAAGTAGCCTGACATACATGTATTTCCTAGAATATATAATGATTTAATTGTGCCTTTAACATAGTACATTCAGCCCATTCTTTATTCAGACATGAAAGTAAATACTTACAGCTGATTAGCAGTAATAAATAAATAAATAATCTGGAACCAAAAGTTCAAGGCCACTATTTAAGATTTTATAGTTGGACATTTTACACATCATAACACAAGTAATTATAGGCACTAATCATCAGCATCCGCAGAAGACTTCCTTTAAAAATAAAGCAGGCAAATTAGCTCATGCACAGCCTTGTGATAGCAGTTTTCAAATCACTGTTCAGTACAGGTGCTTTTAATGGTTACAGTGAGTAAGAGTGGAGATGGTGAGAAATTATTTAGGCCAAGTGCTGGACTTTCTTGCATGGATTTCCTTGTGCCGGATGTTTCTTGTTTGGTTCTTTTCTCCTTCTCGTGTACATTTTCCTTTGCATAATGTAATGAAGATCAATCAAAAGAAGCTGGACTTCAGAGAAGCATCACAATGACACATATAAGCAACAGACATATTAAGATAAGACAGAAGTTTACAAAAAGGTCCTGAAGTCTTTGTCGTGTTTGTGGATGCACCTCAATAGTTGAGGCTCTCCTCAGAGCAGAGCGAGTTATGTACTGGACCTTCTCCATGGCAACAGGAAAGCAGAAATTTAAGAAAGAGTGGATTTTAAGAAGCAGAGACTTTCAGGAATAGTACAATGTGCTTAATATCTTCTGTTTGAGAAGTTTTAAGAATCTTTGTGGAGCTAGAGAAAGTAGGAAAGTGAAGTGTTAAAATTACAGCAAACCGTGTAGATTATCAGCAAGTGTAGATTATTTCAAGGTGACAGAATGCAACACATTTCACAGTGAAAACAAGTCTTAATAAAAAACAAAACATGTAGCAACTCTATACCATTATTCTAAATGTCACAATATGATATGGAAAAAAGCAGATTGCAGTTAAGTGTATCTACATGCCTTCATGGTGTTTGTTCCTAATAAGATAAATCTACAACTGTACACAGAACCTGTGTACAGTTTTAGCATTCCTGGTTAAAACGTCTAAGATGTTCTGGTGTGTAAAAAAACCTGAGTAGGAAAGCAGTCTTGAGAGACAGTAGATGTTTGACACATCAGTTGTGATTTGTGACTCACTAAGCTGAGTTCAGTCCACCAACCATGTATGGTGACTCAGAGTGCTCATTAAGCCTTCTCTATTTGATGCCTGCAAAAACAGAAAGGTTGTCAAGCACCTGACAATCCCCAAAACATAGTTGGTGGGCTGCATTCAGTTTGAATCATAATTTTTGCTGGAATGGTTTGTATAAATAAGCTTCACAATCCCTGCTTGTCCATCCATTATTTTCGGCTCTGTTTGATTGTGGAGAGATGAAGAGCAATAGTCTATTAGCCATCAAAAATATTTGCCTGACACTATGTCCAGTTTCTTTTTTTGGCTTACATTTGTCAGGGGTTGATACTGTAATAACAAAACTGTATTCTCAAGGGACTCGGTAAAAACGGTATCACTCTTTTAGCCAAATATGGACACAGTTATACTAAAATATTTATCCTGCTCCAAGCAGGCTATCATGAATTAAATACTTACAGATTAAGCACATTCATTAAACATATCTTAACACTTCACAGATATATCTCATAAATAGATGATAGAAATATTTATTTTATTGACATGTTGAGTAAAAGCATAAATATCACTCTGTTGAATTTCACATTATAATGACATTTATTTTATGGAATTTTCCATGCTTTTTGGAAGTTCAGCAGTTTACTTGATGGTAAGATATAATTCTGTTTCTGACAAGGTTAACAATTGCTATTTGAATATTTTAAAAATTAGGAAACAGAAGAATAAAATAATTAACTATTAATCCGCACATACTAGCCCTCATTTTACAGCAATATGTAATAAAGTCATCTTTGCTGTATGTAATATATAATGAAGAGAGCTATTTTGGTCTAATGGTTAAAGCACCAGGCTGGAAAGCAGGAGACTGAGTTCTAGTCCTGCTTTAGGCATGAAAAACTGGCTGGGAGACTTTGGGCCAGTCACTCTCTCTCAGTCCAGCTCATTTCACAGGGTTGTTGTTGTGGGAAAAACAGGAGGAGGAAGGAGTATTAGGTATGTTCACTGCCTTGAGTTATTTATAAACTTAAGAAAGGCAGGATAAAAAATTCTTTAAAAGGTCACTGACATTAACTTGCTTTAATACTGTTGCTTTGCTTATAAGTATTATTTTGACTCTGGAAGCATCTTAGAGCTGTTCTTTAGTTTATATCTGATGATAATTTCAGAACTACTAAGACCTTTGAAGGAAATGAGAATCCTATGCAAATTTTATAGCAATTGGGACTGTGATTCAGTTTTTATTCTGAAAATGTTACTATTTGAAATTAGTAGGAGTGATATTCAGAATATAGAATTCTATTTTCTTGTGCCTAAAAACTGAATTCTTGTAATAATATTGTAGTAGTGCTTTTTTGTGTTTAACCAATATTTACATTTAAATATTTGTTTTTCTATCTTATTTGGATTATCATGGATGCCTGAATCCCTCAAATCAATTTAATTGAAACTATAATTATACTGTTATTAGGGTGTCCCTGTGTAGAAAAGCTATATTGAAAGATGGCCAAGTACTTTCTTTTATTTTAATAGATAAATCAATTAAACAAAGGGGAAACTCATTCATGTGTTCTACTTTTCTCATGTCCCATGTAATGCAGGTTCCAGTTGACAAAATTCATTAGAAATGTTAGTTAGTAGTTTCTATTTTGTTTATGTTGTTCTGTTTTAAATATACAATTGGCATAACTAATGCATAATCCTTTTAATTTTTTTAAAATGATTTTTACTAACAGCTGCAGACTTACTCAGTTATATTAAGTAAAAGGCTCATGCGCGCTCTCTTTTTCTCTCTCTATATATTTCTGCTTTATCCCTATGAAATAGGGATAATTATATTTTACAGTTTTTCTTATTTTAAGGCTGCTTTAGGGCCAACACGTTAAAATGTCTGTTTTCATCGTCCAGTTATCAGGGGCTGTTTTCAGTGATGCTTCCCATCCCTGTCTGATTCTCCTCAGAATTTCCAATGTGACATAGGAGTGGAACTGCATATTGTTCCCAAGAATTTTACTCAACAGTTGTTAAAAACACATACTGGTTGTGTGGGGGAGTTAGACTTCCCAAAAGGAGGTTAGCCCACATGCTAAACATGGGGCCAGAATGCCCGATAATGATATTGGTCTGCATGTGAATATTTACAGTGAGATAACACAACAGAAGTTAACTTGTGGAAGAAAAAGTAGAAATGCGAATCCAGAATCATACTATGAAGGATCTTTTTTTAAAAAAACAAACTATGTATGCCTAGCCCTAACCTTCCTTTAAAATCCTGAATAATATATCAGAAGGGGCCATTCCATTTTTTCTTTTGAGAAAATATTTATCAATGTGATTCTTGGATTAAAATGGAGGCAGATTTAATTATAAGCTGATGCCTGATATCCATGTATGTAGCAATAAATTTAAAAAAATAAAAATGATAATAAGATTAGTTTCTTTGATTTATGTATTGCATAGTGAAGGGCAGCCGGGTGTGTTTCTCTCATAATGGAATGCTGTAAAAGCTTACTCAATGGTTTATTGTTTTTGAGGACCCAGATAATGGTCTTTTAATTCTCTTGGGATTTTTAGTCTTCCTGATTTAAATATATTCTTTTAATGTTATTGTTTCAGTGTTGTTTAGATTTTATGCTGTGCTTTAAATTTATGTATTTTGTGGTTTAGCCTTCATGTTTTGAGCTGCCCACAGAACTGATATAGAAGTGGAGTAATGTAGTCTGTCTGTCTGTCTATCTTTCCATCCCTGTTTTAGAAACTGTGTTGATTTTTGTTGTTTTAGAGTCAAAACTTTTTTACAAACAACTGAATAGTAAGAATTGTTTTTCCATTAGAGATCACGAGTCTCCTGCTGATGTTCCCTCTGAAAGGTCATGCAAGAGAAAACAGATTGGAGCTGATGGGAAGCCCAGTAATTGCATTTCTGGGCCCTATTTCTCAGCCTTATTTTGCCAAAAGTCCTTTTTTGGTTCCTTCCTTCCACACTGCATAATTTAATTGGAACTTTGACAGATATGAATTATTAATTTTCATACAAGTAGCTGGGTTTTCTTTATGATCTCAGTTACACCAATTGGAAGTCTAAATTTCGTGGTCAGTGATGGGTCTGAAGAAAAGTTTGTCTTCCTATTTGAGCTTAATGAAAAGCAGAGATTAGATCAAGGAATAGTAAAATAAAAGAAAATGAAAGGTGAATAAAATAGAAATGCCATGAATGTATTTTAGAAAATATTTCAGTGTATTGTTAATTAAGGGTAGAAAATAACAGTTTGACAAAATAAGAATAACTTGTTAAGATATTAATAATAGGAAGATGCCCAAAAAACTGAGGGAATGAAGGCTGGATATAATAAGCGGGTCAAGAAAGTTGAAAAGAGGCAGTAAGTAAAAAGAAATATTAATGCTGAATGTTAAGAGGAAATATTAAAGGTTACTGAAAACTGTATAACTTGTATCATGAAAATCTTCCTCCATTGTAATCCAAGAATTACATTGATAAATGTTTTCTCAAAAGAAAAAATGGAATGGCCCCTTCTGATATATTATTTAGGATTTTTTTTTAAAGGAGGGTTAGGGCTAGGCATGTTATGTTTTAAAATCTGAAAAATGTTGATTATACAAAATTTGTAAATTTGCCAAACTCTATTTGGCTCCTGAAACTGAATTAGTACTTGGTGAAAATGTGACTTTTTTCTAAGAATGTATTGATCCTTAAATCAGCTTCTAAAATTTGCTAACATTAAAGTTGCAGTCTATGTAAGTTACACAAGAGTAAACCTCACAGAATAGAGTGGAATTTTATTCCAAGTAAGCATTCTTAGAATTGCACTGTTAATTAACAGTACACCAAATGGATAATAGTATAAACAAGCTTTTTACATTAAATCTGGATATTTAAGAGTGTTTCTTACTAAAATGTATCTTGGTTTTGCTATTTTAAGAGGCTTGACCTCTTTTTTTTTCTTTTTTTGACATTTTTGTTCATGTTTATTGTTCAATCTCTATAATAGATGATAAAATGATATATTATTTAAAAATTCAATTATCTGGAACCTATTTTGACTGCTATCCTGCACAAGATTAGAGTCTAAATTCAAGATTTCTATAATAGGATTTAAGTAGTTTAGTCTGAAAGTACAGGATCAGAATTGTTGGCTAGGATCCAAAGAACTAGAAAAGAACTACTAGATCTTCTTGCCCAAACTCTCTGTGCATGTGTTTCTTGAACACCAGATCCCACATCCTATCCCCAAAAAATAGTATTAAAATTGAAGGGATTTTCAAAGCCAATTTGTTCAACGAGAGACTGATACTAAACATTAAGGACTTCCCTTTATTACTCTCTTGAACTTCTCTTATTTACTTTTTGGACCCAATATTTCTTTAACATATATGCTTCATTTGCTTGGCAGCAGTAAAAATACACATACACAAAATACACATTATTGACACCAGAACTGATATATGGATACTACAACTGATACATGAATACTACAAAGGATACTTTTAAAGGAAAACTGGTCATACATCTAACAAAAAATAAACTAGAGAGGAGAGGAATGATAAATGCTGTGGTCTGGATCTTTCCTTGTCCTGAATTATTATTTATCTGATGTCTTTTACCATGCTTTTTTCCGCTTCACCTCTCCATTTCCTTATTCTCTCTTTTTCTTTCTCTCATTGCCTCTCTCTCTTTCTCTCTAACATGCATACAAAATGCTTGATATGTCTGCTTCTTTTCTAAAACAAAAATAAATGCAGAAGGTAGCTTGAGTTCTGTATCAAATTATGATTTTCAAGAAAGTCATAGACTTTTTTGTTAATGGAAGCAGGACAGTTAATTTGAAAATCAAAAGTCATATTATAATAAAAATAGAATCCCTTACCTTGATGACTGGTGATTGCTGAATTATATGAATATGTGCTGTGGGAAACTAAAAGACGTTCTCTGTCATCAGATTTGTGGAAACAACTGAAGTTCACTGAGGGAAAAAAATAACAAAAGTTTAATAGGCTGGGCTCATGATGTCATTCAGGAATTTAACTCCAGTGATTGGTTATACAACAGATTGCAAGAACAGAGATATTGCAGAGCTAGCCTTGTTTAAGGCAAGGATGTTTAGTATTTGATCTCACAGGGAAAAAAGAGTGAAAATGAGATTGTGTGTTCATAATACAAAAAATCCAAACAAACAAATGATAGTTCAGTTAATAATACTTAGACGATACCTTTTCATTCCACTCCATTCAATTGAATGATGCAAGATAACACCTACTTTTAGTAACACACATACATACACTACTAGGTGTAAAAAAAACCCCATGAAATTTCATGTACAGTATGGTTTTAACATACTTGGGCTGCAAAATCTGGATGAACAGATGACAACAAAGAGATACCCAAAACTCCAACTTTCAGTGGTCATCCAGATTTTTGCAACCCAAATTTGATAGCTCAACACAAGCTGATATTCAAGATGTTTTTCAGTTAACAAATCAGTGTACCACAGATACTTGAAATTAAACTCCCAACTGTTCTTAAAGTGATGTGTTGAAGGAGAGTTTATAGTGTTTATTTTTTAAATATTTTAAATGTTTCAGTACTGCTTTACAATCAGGAGTCTCTCAAGTCTACTGAAAGGACATTTGCTGTTCATTGGGTGGGGGAAGGGCATTGCAGTCTGGTATTGTGTGCTTAAATTAGCATTTGGATTTATAGTCCAGATAATTTGGACATTGAATGAACACGGCAGATTGTTACTATGTATACTTCTTTCTTAAAACAGCTCAAGAGATTCATATTGTTAGGTGAATTTCCAACATTGGCAGCAAAATAAAATATATAGCTTTACTTGGCAGCTGATTTTGGCCTGTCTTTTAGCTGAGCATTTCAGGGTGATATAAGTGGCAGTCTTTTAAGTAGCAGTTATTGTTGTTCCTTGTCATTGTTGGAGGTACACAGGCTTTTAAGAGAATGGCATTTGCCCTTTCAAAAAGAATCTACTTAAGATAGATTAGGTATCCTTTTGTTTATCATACATGGCATTGATATTTCACTAATGCTAGCAAGCTATTGGAAAAGGTGTCCTGTGTTTCATCTAATATATTTGGTTTATACATATTGTTTTAAAATATGTATGGCTAGTACTCTGTGTGTATAAATTTTATTTAATTTTTTTATTTAAGTGAGAAAAGAATACTGTGAACTTAAATAAATATCAACCCAAATTAGTTTTGTTTGTATTGTTTGTTCAAAGTTGAGAGCTTCCAGTAATTAATTGGGGCAGTATATTAGGAAAGGAATAATATATTAAGGATACTGTGATTTCTTTAGGTGATATTGTTAACAATAACAAATGTATTGTTAGTCTTTAAGGTCCCACAAGTTTTTAGTTGTATTTGCTGCAAAATACAACTAAACGTGGCAGTTCCTTTGTAAACCAACAAATAAGCAGTCCTTCTGTGTATTTATGAATATTTGACAATCTACACTGGATTAAGTCAGCCTTCCCAACTCTGAAGATGCTGCTTAAGAATTTTGGAAGTTACAGTCCCAACTGATCTGGCAGGCTTCAGTTATGGGAAGGTTGGAGGGTAGCTGTATTGGGCATGTCAGATTCTGTTACAAATGAGTTGGATATATGCTGTTATGCTGCACATTTCACCTTCTTACCTCTTGGCGTCTGTACACTGGAAATCTTGAGATTGACCTAATGTAATTTACTGTGCCTGTATTTGTTGGTTAATTTTCTTCTAACCAATGATCCTTGAATTCTGTTAATCCCAGTAGGAAACAATTCCCTGTACTTTAGATTTGGGTCTTTTCAGATCTTTTAACATCCCAATTGTCCTTTTGTCCCTTCTGATCTCTCAGGAATACCACTTTTTTTTCAGGTGTCATGTTTGAAAAGCATCCTGGCAGTTCTGAAGGGTATGGTACCCATGTCAGGATTTGAATCTCGTGGCCTTCAATTCAGTCACCCCACTCCAAAATCTGTTTTCTCTATCTCATTTCCTGCCTTATAGCAAGAAAGCAAATCACTCTCTTGTGATTTTGGGGTCCCTTTGTACTTTTGCTTTGAACCCCTAATATGTAAACTATGCATGTATGACATGCTATTTCCCATTTTCACATGTCTAAAATCCCATTTGGATTTAAAGGATATAGTGGTTTAATAGGCACAGGTTTGCTTCTATTAATCCATTAATGGAGGGTTTACTACTGTATACAACTGCTTAGTTCTTTTTCTTTTCTCTCAAACCTCTTTTCTGCTGTTTAGCTTCCTTATTCACAGGATTTCTTTCCACTCAACTTTATAGCACTTCTTCCCTTTATTTCACCAAGTCTTAGGTTTTATGGGACATTTTAATCCCATCCTTGTACAAGTTTTCTATTCCTGTTTACGGTACACCTTGTAAAACATGGGTGCTTTGTTCCTTATAGATTTGGAATATTTGTTGATAATTTGTAATACCAATTGCTCAGCCAGTCTCTTCACATATGATGTTATCTCTTCTGCAGACAGAAATCTTTAAATGAAGTAAAGTAAATGTGACCCGTTCCTTCTTGAATTTAATATTTGCAAGTTTTAAGCAAATGTGTGCTTGTGTGTGTGCAGAATATTTGTGGAGGAAGAGAAAAGACTTTGAAATCCCCTTTCAAGTTAAACTACTCAGGTACAGAAAGTTCCTGAGAAATGTTAGAAAACTATGAAAATCCTGAATGATTTGAAATATTAGCACACTTAAAAACAGCGTATTTGGTGTTTTGTTTTTTAATTTTCTTCAAGGGACAAAAATATGCAGCTGCTGCTTACATGACCTTAAATGGAAATAATCTGGGCTTTCTCCAGGGGGATTAAGACTCTACCATCAGAACATGTTTCTTTTTATTTTTTTTATTTTTTTTAATTTTTTTTTTATTTTTGCGATCTGATAGAACATTAGTTGGAACCACATTTAGGGAGGAAGACTTTTATATTTTCTAGCAGAATTATATTTCTTTTACAAACAACACCATTATCTATGTATTTGATGCCCGTATTGGCATTTTACACCCACTATATGTTGAAGTATACTGTATGCAGGTGTATACATATTTCAGGCATCTCAGAATGTATGTTCAGAAGGATGAAACTTAAAAAATTATGTCATAATCTTGGCAGTGCACACTGGCATGATTTACTGATTCAGAATGTTATTTCTTATACATGGTTGCACATCTAGGAACTGCCATACACAATAGAATAGCAAAAATGTTAAACTATATTTCAGGTATCACTGCTTATACAGACTTATATGTTTATAAAAGAATTACAGCTCTTCATGCGGATTTAATCATTGGCACCTTCATTTTATAAGATTACTAATACTTGTCTTGAACATCTTCTGAGACAATGGAAGTCATTAGCTATCACAGCCAGTCAGTCAAGACAGGTGCACCAGTATGTTGAATCAATGTAATGCAGTTTTATATGTTTAGATTTGTTACGATGCTAGTCATATACAAAACAGTAGGAAAGATGTTCTTGACATTAATGAATGCAGAAATAGCTAATCTGTGTATTCTCATAAACTAAAAATTGACCTAAAGATGAACTACTGGGTATAATCATTTTTCAAAAGATAATGGTAATTTTAAAACTTTACTTGCAACTGGACTTTTAGATAGATGAGTGTTATTCATATGCTATTTTGTTGTTTGCCCTCTTGATGACACCCATGTGTTAAAATTGCTTTTTCTTTTTTTAAAAAGCAATTTTTATTTTTTTAGAAAAAGGAAAGTATTCACTGGGAACACAACCAGAATGCTTGTTTAAATAATAGCAAATAAGACCAAATTTAGAACATTAATACAGAGCATGAGAATGCTATTAATTCTGCCTTGAATGTTTCTTCTCTTCTGTACTCTTGACCAGGTTTGAAAGAATATGAAATATATTGTTTGAATGCCATATTTATGCACACTCTTTTAATTATTGGGTTACAATCTTTTATTTATTGGGTTACAATTTGGTATTTTTACCCAGTGGCTAAAGTTATTACAAATAGAATTGTTCCTATAGAAGAGAATATATGTAGCTCAGGGTTGAACTGTGAAGTCCTTGGTGCTCTCTGAGCTTGGTTTGTTTGCTGGCAGACATTTCACTACCTGACTAGGTAACATCAGTGTGAGTGGGTGTGGGGTTTGCTCCCTGAGGTAACACTTATATAGTGGAACTATTCCTTAAATTCAGGGGAATAAGTCACTTTCTAATCATTTTTGGAAATTGCTTATTAACTACTTTTAAGCTATTAGAGACCTTTGGAATGACAATTTTTGAAAAGCCTCTGTGTTCTGAAAATGAGAATATGATGCAATAAGTTTCTGTATAGTCTAAATTTAATGATAAGCTTAAAAACTGAATTAATTTTATATTATCGTTATTACAGTATATGGATTTTTTTCCTCTTAATTTATTTTGTTTCAGACACTTTTTTGTTAGATTAACAGAAACTTAACGAATAAGAAAACTGTTTTAATTATGGTAATATATCTAGGTTTTCTTTCTTCACTGTATAACCATGATTAAATATTAAGAATAATATGGGATTTTTGCTTGTAATATTGGGAAAACTAACTCCATTTTAATTTGTAATTGGCAGATTACAAATACATTATTGTAAATTAAATTGTAAAATAAAATTAAAATTATCTTTGTTTACAAGTTCCTAAATTATCTTTGGAATTTTTGGAATGTATTTGTTATTGAAGAGCACCATGAGAACATGGTATGATTTTTTTTTCTGTCCCGCATGTCATGATTTAATGCATCATGATCCATTTCTCTCTTATTAATACTTTGTTTCTAGCTGTCAGCATCTCAGTGTGCAGATCACAATTTAGATGCCTGACCATGCAGGAAATACAAAGTAACTTGTAATTGTTCTCAGAATTATAAAACATTAGCATCAATTAGAGCAAATTCATCATGTATTTGATAATTATAAATGTAGATTCATCTTACACAAGAATTTTACAGTTTTACCATTTTAGCAATACTAGTATTTTACTAGTACTTTGCCCCTTGTTCACTTTGGAAGGCTTCTTGAATGAAAGCTCAAGTAAGCAAGTAAGATTTTTACAATGTGAATTCCTCCTTTGTTTTGCATCAGAAAATGTTACATATCTGGCAAAAAGATGTGCTAAGAGTCTTGTAACTTTGGAACTGTGTTGAGTGTTTTCCTGATAAACTGTTCCAGGAAACAGTGAGATTAGTTGTGTTCTTTGACATGTTTTGAGTGCTGGATGAACACAGAGGCAAAGACATATGAAGGAGAGATAAAAGGCTGTAATGCCAATTGAGGTACTGTTCAGTAACAAAGAGTTCTGGAGTTGGATTATTTCCATTTTAACAGCAATTATTGACTAGAGGCCAGAGATTGCATTTGTTGCTTTAATTATTACTTTTCAGCTATGTTTTATACAAGAGAAAATTGCAGCTTTGAATAACTTACTGGAATTTACTGTAACATTTAAGAATAATCACTTTCAAATCTTAGCTGTTCATTCTCGGCATCATACATTCTGATTAATTAGTATACACAGCCTAGAGTTTACCATTAGCTCATCTTAAATTGTGTCCAGAGAAAAATTAAAACGTGAGCCATGGCTGCATTTTGGGTACCGCATGCACCAAAGGAATACTGAGTGGGAGAGGGACCAACATCCTCACAGAAAGATGTTGCTGTGCAGAGTGATGGCAAGAAACAGAAAAAAGATCCTGTGTGGCTTGTGTAAGAGAGGATATAGGACTCAGCTTCTCTAAAGACCTTATCCAGGCATCATTTATAAAGCCCTTCATGAAATGCAGTCTGATTATCTGTGAGACTGTCTGTCTGCAATAGTTTCTGCCCACCTGGTATGGTCAGGCAGAGTGGGGGCAAGGAAGCATGCCTTCTCTGATGCAGCTCTGCCTTCTGAAATGGCATTCCTGCAGATATATGGATGGTGCCTGCTCTCTTAGGGTTCTGGGAGATCCTTTAAGACCTGGCTCTGTTCCCAGGGAGCCCTGGGAACCCTGATGTGTTTTTTTGACTGTTATGGCTGGTTTTTTGTTTGGGCTGCTATGTTTTGTTGCTATGTTTTTAGTTGTTTTAATTATATATTTTGATATCTTGTAAGCCACCCAGAGTCTTTTGGAGTGAGTGGCCATAATAAATTTAAATCGTCATCCCTGAGCTGTAACATTGTGATGTGCAGCTTATTCACTGGTTAATAGCAATCATGTGGAGATGCATATAAGTCATGAACTTATTAAACATAACTGTATGCTGATGGCACAGTTGGGTTTCAGTGATTTTTGTGGAAGTCTGATCCCTTGAAACAATTATTCACTTAATGCATGGCATTATGCACAGCTTAATCCTGTTTATTGACAAGTGATTTCTGTGGGTTAATTTAATAATGCATAGGAGTATAGTTTTTAAATTCATTTGTTCAATTTATATCCTGCCTTTCCTCCAAGGCTTCCAGATGGTATACTGGTACTCTGTTCTCCATTTTTTTCCCGCTCAACAACCCCATGAGTATGTCTCATACTTAAAATACTCAATGAAATCAATATTATATTATTCTCCTTAAATGCACATTTTGGCTGTATGACAGCATATTTACAAGTGAATGTTAATTACCATCCTGTATTATTTGATAGCTGACTTTTATTCACTTTACCTTTTGTTTACTGACATGCTTCTCTCCTTTTGCTCTAAAACATACATTGTCTGCCTATTTATAGGAAAACATTCACACATTAAAGTCAAAAAGATGGATTTTCGTGAGTTTATATTCATGACTAGAAATAAAAGCACATGGGAGAATGGCAATACAGTCAACTAGTTTTAGAAGATATATGGATAGGATATCCATACCTGCTGTTAAAGGTTCTTGGAACTAAATATATACAGTATTTTCTTATACTCACAATTACCTTTCCATGTATTTTTATTCATGGGCACAAATTCCACTCATTAATTATCACTTAGAATTTCTATAAAGATAACAGATATATGTTTTCCTCAGATGGCCTTTATCAGGTTGCTGACTTTTGAAAGTCAAGTGTCCTATCAAGAACCCTTATAGTGTCAACTGGCAGAGGTCAGTTTTCTGGAATGGAGCCAAATGGTTAAGCCTTTTACCTTTTTCTTACTATACATTTTCATTTTTCTTATTGGACTAATTGCATTTTCAGCCAGTATAGATCCTGTCAGAAGTTGGCTGCTTTTCTAGATGATAGATATCACACTAAGGTAGTTTCTTACCCTTGTGAAAAGCTTGTTTTGCTACCTGTTGGTGGAGTATATCTCTTCATAAGATAGAATCTGAATATTTAAGTTGGGCTAAGTATTCAGTTAGGTTTTCCTGGCTATTCAAGAGTGATTGGATGTTACTTAAAGTTTGGAGAGTCTTCTTTAATGCAGTGACTTTTACAAACTATGGAAGTAGTCTTCACCTTTAGTAAACCCATCTGATGAATCTTTGCATGCAATCTTTGTAAAAAACTAAGCATTTAAACTTTTCTGTAGCTTAGGATGCTTCATTTAATAGTTAATTTAATAGAGCCAGTTTGGTGTAGTGATTAAGGTGCTGGCCTAGAAACCATGAGACTGAGTTCTAGACCCCCCCTTAGGCATGAAAGCTGGCTGGGTGACTTTGGGCCAGACACTCTCTCTCAGCCCAACCAATCTCACATTGTTGCTAGTAGTTATTTGAAAATAGGCAAGAGTATTAGATACGTTCATCACCTTGAGTTGAGCACAATATATAAAAAAAATGGGATAAATATAATAATAATACCCCAGACTTAACAGTTGTTGATAAGAAAGATCAAAAAAGTCTGGATAGTGGATGTTGCAATACCCGGAGACAGCAGAATAGAAGAGAAAGAACTGAAGAAAATCACAAAATATAAAGACCTGCAAACAGAAGTAGAACGACTATAGCAAAAGAATGCAAAAATAGTACCAGTAGTTATAGGCGCCTTAGGTATAATCCCAAAACATCTGAAGCACCACTTGAATACCATCAGCATTGACAAAATCACCACCAGTCAATTGCAAAGGCAACTTTACTTGGAACAGTTTATAACCTGCAACAATACCTTTAACACCATCAAACAACAACTTCTGCCTATCCCAGGTCCTTGGGAAGGACTCCATAAGTGGATAAAAATGCCAGTCTAAACATCTGGCTGGCTGTGCGACCAACCACAGCATACAATAGGAAGTAGCACCTAACTGACCTTGACTCATCTCACAAAAGCTAAGCAGGGTCGGATCTTCTTATACTTGGGTCGGAGCTCACCAGAAAATCCCAGGATTGTAGGCTAGAGTGGGAGGGTGAAAAAAAAATTATCAGAAGAAGCCAGAGATAAAACATTCCCATGTTGTTAGCAAGAACGCTACACGGACATATCCATTAAGTAATCAGGAATCAAGCTTAACTCAAATAAGAGTTTACTTTTTTCTGTATCTTAATATTGTTATCACATTGTCAAGCTGTGTTGCATGAATACAGTCAAAGTATCCTGGTCCAATACATTAGCATCATGTTTATTACAAAACACAAGAAATGTACTTAAAATATACATATGCCAATGAATATTAGTCACAGATATATCAAAGATTTCTGCCCAAATGTTTGGAAGTGTTATTCAGCCCAAATGTTTGGAATTGTTTAACTTCTTAATGGTTTCATTAAATCATGTAGTAATAAATTTGGGTTTAGGATTAATGTTACCATACTTTCTACTTCAGGATTTTTAAAAAATTAATAGGATTCTTTAAGGGCTTTAAAGAAGGTGAAAGTGTGTAATGATCTTTAGTGAATTTCACTGTAATGAGAAGATAATATAAACACTTATTAAACAAGTGTTTCTATACTTAGGAGAGACCTTCTGTTATCTCTGGAAAATTCCAGACACACTTGCTCTGAATGTCATCTGAAGTGCCACCTAGAAGTGTTGTCCATAACATTGGCCAGGATATAAGTAGAAACTTTCTGAAAATGTGTGACTAACTTTAGTATAGGTTTTCACAGAATTATTTTTTGCTAATGATATGTATTAGATATTTTTCATGTTACATAAAAGTGTACATGTATTTTAAGATTTTGTAGCTGGTCCATAGGTACGTAGAATGAACTCTTCTTTGCAAACATTTCTGTCATTAGAAATAAGACAGAATAATGTTTTTCTCACGTCAGAGCTTAACTTGTAAGAACCAGAGAGGAAAAGAGGTAAAATAGCTCATTTAAGCTCCTTGAATTATTTTCAGTGTTCAGCCTGGCTGTAAAATTGCTAAATGAATCTGCACTATGTGATTTGGCATACTAGATTCAGAATATAAGGTTTCTGCATTCCTCTTAGGTTGTCATCTGTGTTGATCACATCTTCTGTGACATTATAATAGGTGGATACTGTTTGGAATATTGTAAAGTACCCATATGCAGAACCCAATAGTCTAATTTTTGGAGGAAAAAGCTATAGACCATTTGCACATAAAAAGATAATTTCTAAATACAAAATCTAACAGCTGAGACTTTAAGAAACTAACCCCACAAAGTGCTTTAATTTGAGCCACATTTGCATATTGCATGTTCTAAATATTATATTTTTTACTGTTCAAATTATTCCTCATAGCGTTTATACAATTAAAAGGCAGAAGCCAGAACCGAACTCACTTTTATGTAAGGTTCACTGGTGTATAGAGCATACTATCAAGTATATATTTAAAGAAAAACCTATGTACTTATTACAGAATTATTTATTGTTGTACTAGGCTTCAGAAGCAGTTCAGGTATAGTTTTTAAACAGCTTAATTTTCATCTATTGGATTCCTCCAAGTTACTGATTAATTAAATTGATTTGTTGACCCTTTCAGGATGCTACTTTTAATATTTAGAAGTATCAGATAACCTATCTTAGTTTCTCAGAATTTTCTCTGCTTCAGAACTTGTTGTGAGAATTCAGTACCTTGTACCCTATAGAAATCAAAAGTTCATTTGTTCTGAATAAGTCAAGGAAGGTACATTTATGGCACTAATAAAATAGTGTACTGTAAGCTGCTTAGATTCACCTGATTGAAGCAGCATTTCCTTTAATAAATAAATTATTTAAAGGTTGGATTTAAGTAGAAAAAATAGCTAAGACTGACCACTTAGAAGTAAATGGCAATTAAACAAATAAATTAGCATACACTGATATATTAATAATAACATAATGTCTTGGATTTCTCAACTCTGGTATCCATAAATTTTAAGAAAACTAATATATAATGTATAGCCTGCATATGATTTATATGCTGCAAAAAATCAAAAACCCATAGAGCGTGTTAAGATAGGAACTCGTATTATAGGAGTACAGATGACCTAGAAAACATTCTGCTTGTTGCAGAACAGTATTTCTCCCAGGCATAATGTCAATTTTTTTCCTGCAGTTTTCTTAGCAACATTTTTGGAAGATGTTTGCCATTGCCTTCTTCCTAGGGCTGAGAGAGTGACTGGCCCAAAGTCTGCCAGCTGGCTTCATGCCCAAGGCAGGAGTAGACTCACTGTCTCCCAGCCACTTTAACCACTACACCAAAAAGTCTTTCATACATGCCTACTGAGCTGAAAATATCTGTTTCTTCTAAAATGTCATATTTATATTCAAAAGTTTCATAGAAGAATTGTAGAGTAGGAAGTGGCCATTTACGTCATCAGGTCCAATCCCCTGCTCAGTAGAAAAACACTTCCTCTGGTCAAGCTCAACTAGTAGTTATGCAGATGCATCTATGTGAGTTTTTTTTGGCAACAGTATAAAGCTGGTTTACCATTGTCTTCCTTTGGAAGTTTTTCAACTTCCCAGTCTAGTTTACAATCCTGGGATTTACTGGCGATCTGCTTTGCATGCACTAAACAGTCCAACTCTGCTTAGCTTTCTTTGAGATCTGGCTGGTTTGTGCAACCACTCATGAGCCCTACATAGAGCTGACTTTCATAAATCATTGTAATACAAAAATTAAAGAACAGGTTTTTCATTTATATAGTTTTATTACCTACAATCTTTATTGAAATGTTACACAACACAAACTGTCAGTGGCACAGCTTTTCAATGTGAGATATTCATGCTTCCAAAACATAAATGAATGAATTCCATAATGATGAAAATGAAGAAAATAGAAACCTGTGTGTTAACACTTCAGTTAGGTTTCAGTTCCATAAAAATGTAAAGCTAGAAAATACTGGACAGAAACACTGCAGATTAAAACTTCTATAAACTGTGAAACAGTTATGTTTCAAGTATATCCTGAAGAAGAAAGTATGGATTTTTTAGTTTCCAAAATATATTCATGAAGTAGATTTCTCCTGACTAAGCACTCTGATAAATGTTATAAATTACAAACATGAGAGGATGGTAGATTTTCCTCATTTTATGATTTTTTAAATTGTATTTTTCCTTTATGCATATTTTTGTGCAGGTTCTGAGTGGATCATATCATCAGAGTTATCCAGCTACAAACTTTCAGGACTACAATAATTGGGAATCCCTGATGAAAATTAAAGAAGGGTTGTTAAGACAAAAAGAAATTGTGATTGATAGGTAAGTAAATCTACTGTAACCTCCGTTTGCTTCAGGTTTGCCTTGTAAAGCAGGCAATCATCTCAAAGAATAATTTCCAAAAAGAATGGAAATGTGCTCTGAAAAGTATGAGAGGCAAGTAGAAGTTGACAGAAATAAAGTGAAAACATGCAGATAACAGACTAGAGCTTCTGTATCCTTAAGAAAGTATTAATATCCAGGATTATTACACTGATTGTGGAAAGAGTTAAAAGTAAAGTAGCTAGTAACATAATACAATTGGATAAATTTTTGGTGCAAAGTACAGTTCTGAATAAATATATCTGATCTTACCTTGCCCAGTAAAGTCCAACTCTGATGGGGTCTTAACCAAAGCTCTTTTCAAGTACTGCCGTGAGTACCTTCATCAAAAAAGATACAGATCTAGAAATGATGCAGAAAAGGAATTAATGCATATTCATATAAGACAAGAATAAAATATTTACAGATATTTGGTTAAAGAATTGACAGCATTGGGAATGTGGCAAACAGAAGTTCTTAAAATAATGAATGGTGTAGAGACAGTGAATACAACTCCCCCTCAGTGTCTTATCTTGTCATCTTTGAGTAATGGCCATGAGAGCTGTTTTAGGTAATGGAAACATATTCAGAGTTTCTGGTGTGTAATTCTGTAGCTGTATGTAGCAATATAGTGGTACTTGTATACTATCTTGTGCGTGTACTATCATAGGATAATGCTGATTAGTTGATCTCTGGTGACCTTTGTCAAAGCATAACAAAGCTCTGTGTCAAACTATGTTGTGTATGCAAAATGTAATACTATCATTAAACAAGATGTGATTAAAAATTAAACAATATTGTGGAATTGCTCCATTTCAGCTTAAGCCACATGTGTTAGAAAGTGCTGTTCCTGAAGATTTATGTACAGCATTTGATGCAATATGGTTGCCTACATCCATATTGCATCAAATATGGGGCCCTGTCTAGTGTTTTCTTGCTTTACATTTTTATGGGACCAACAGTCTTACTTTTTATTTGCATAGGAGTTCTTTGCTTTCCAGCCCTTGACACTTACATGGAGAAAAGTGCATACTAAAAACAAATACATAAGATTAAGTATGTTAAAACTGTGAAATCCATATTGAAATGGTCATGGTAAGTTATATAAGTTTTGGGCTGACACTGACATTTCCTTGAAACAACTAGATATTCACTTGGTTCATGTGGAAATATAAATTCTCATTCTCAGCATTACTTCTGGTCATATGGATTGATTGAAACTCTTTTGAGTTCATGGCTCTTTGAGGATGAGTAGAATCATTAAAAAAATTTGAATAATACTTATACAGGTAGTCCTCAATTTACGACCATTCATTCAGCGACCATTCAAAGTTACAATGGCATTGAATGAATGGTGGTTATGACCGGTTCTCGGAGTTCCAGCCATCGCAGCATCCCTGTGATCATATGATTGCGATCTGGGTGCTTGGCAATATGTTCACCCTTATGACGGGTTGCCAAGCGCCCCATGATCATGTGATCACTATTTACAACCTTCCCTGCCAGCTTCCCCAGAAAGTCAGAGGGGAAGCCGGCAGGGAAGATCACAAGTTTCTGGGGTAAGTTTTCCTCATCCGCGCACCCTCCCTCAGCCCCTCTGTGCTCTCACCATGCTGGCCACCCATGCACCCCTGTGCACCCTCCCCAACCCTCTCCTACACCCCTGCCCACCCTTTGCTCCTGCCCTCACCCAGCAGCAGCCACTTACCTACCTGTGGGCCTGGAACTTGCAACTTTCTGCCAGCTTCCCCACTGACTTTGGTTGTGGGAAGCCAGCAGGAAGTTGCCTCACCTAACAACCGTGGGATTCAGTTAATGATGTCAACCTGGACTGCAGGGATTGCTGTCACTAAGCAATGCAGTCTTGCTTTACAACCGCATCACTTAGCAATGGAAATTTCAGTCGCAATTGCCATTGTAAGTCGAGGACTACCTGTAGACAGTTTCATTCCAGAAACAGTTTAATTGAAATTTTAGTTTATAGTGCATCAACATTAGATGAATGTAATAAAGGTGTGCAGACGTTAAAATGTTCCCGTTCTCTTCTGCCTGACTGCCATATGATTTAGTTTTGCTTCATTTTTTATGTTATTTTCTGATTATTTTCATTATTTAGCAATTATTAAACACTACATTTTAACACTAGAGGGAGTAGTGTATTCTTATATGATTTTGCATAGTATTACATTTGTGCCTTGACCTGGCTTTGTTGAAAATATCTACACTATGCAACTACTGCTTTATAATACTTTAAATTGTTTTGACCTTGATTGGCCATGGCATATTACACATTTCTATTGAAGTGTTCAAGCTAATACTGGCACTGTTTATTGGCAAGGATTACCTAGAATGGTAGTGTGAATAAATGCCAAATGCTAAGCACATGACATAAGTCCCTGAAAATAATAGCATACTCATCAGCATTTGCTGTGTTCTCTACTAAACAGCTTAGTGGTGTTCAAAAGGCTTTTAAGGAAAGGTAAACTCAAAGGTTAAGATTTGGAGGAATAACAGTCATTCTACATGATATAATGATACTTGAAATTCTGAAGCAGCTGCTGAATCGTGATTGATCATCATTAATAGAAATATGGTTAGCTCATTATTAGTCTGTTGATTAAATACAATTTGTTTTTTATTCTTTGTATTTGCTTTGATTTGCTGAGTGGCAGCATAAAGCCAGACTGATGTGGATGATAATTGCTCTATTACTTGATGAATAATTGAGTCGTACCAAAGAATTGGTACTTAAATTTAATATCATTAAATTCTACCTCAGGATTCCTCCTAGCAGGTCCAGTGTTGATGGGTATCCAGTTGTCTCATACTCTATTGAATTGCACGCTGTTTGGATGCCCTTTTAAATATTCAGAAATATAAATACAATTTCCCACAGTTGAGCTGTTCTTGCTCTTTTATATGCTTGCCTTTTTTTTTTTTTAATAGTGCCTAAGATATACTAGGGATGTATTCCAACATTGGTTACAGGTCCCACTTGTCCTTTCTAAAAGCCATCTAACAAGCAGCTAATATCATTCCTTAGGATTCCACTAACCTGTGCCCTTTTGGGAGGAGCGTTACTGTTAATCAGCTTTAGTTCTAATGCCAAGTTCTAATTCCAAGTTCTAATGCTATGATGGAGAGGGAATGCACTCCATTAGTGCTACATAGCTGTTCATTTTATAAGCCTCTATCAGGCTTGTAGAAACAGTGCTCCAACCCTTTGTTCTTTTTTAGCTGCAAACTTATGCACACTTGCTTAAAAGTAATCCTCCTTTAACAGAATAAAAATACTTCTGAAGAAATTTGGGGGATGGATGAAGATTATCATCTCCTTTTGAGTTCTGGGGTATGCTTTTCAGAGCAGAGTAATAAAACTATGCATTGTTAGTAGCAAACAATGATACTTACCACAATGGGACAACATCTGACAGCATAACAGATTGTCTCTGCTTCTTGGAGACCCCTGTGACTTCTCAAGTATGGACCAGAGGAATGGCATGGGATTGAAAGAGAGGAAGGGAAAATTCCATTGCATGAGCGGAAGACTACTCACACCTAGTTGGATTTCATCCACTACTCTAAATCTGGCTTCACCAGAGATTTACATCAATGAAATGTATACATGCTGTTCTTCATCTGAGGAGACAAAAGGTTAATATCCAGAATAAATTAAAATAAATGTTTTCAGTTCTCATCTTATACTTGGTCAAATATGACGAGAATTTTGCTAAAGCAAGTGCAATAATAGAACCAGTTTGGTGTAGTAAAGGCACCAGGCTAGAAACTGGGAGACTATGACTTCTAGTCCCGCCTGAGGCACAAAGCCAGTTGCGTAATCTTGAGCCAGTCACTCTCTTCAGCCCTAGGAGGAACGAAGTGGCAAATCACTTCTGAAATCTTGCCAAGAAAACTGCTGGGACTCATCCAGGCAGTTGCCTGGAATCAACAATTACTCAAAGGTACCCTCCCCCCAAAAGATGCAGTTTAAATATTTCAGTTACTTGTTTAAGTATTTAGCTGGTATTTGTTTACCTGTGTTACACCATAATACTAACAGTTTTGCATATTAAATTATATAAGATATATCTGAATACAATTAAAATTGGATTCAAAATAATTGGTTACCAAACTTTGAAAGAAAAAGATAATGCAGGCCTGGAATCAAATATAGTAGCTGGAAATATTGAACCTGAACTAATTGTCTAGTTGTCTGGCTGTAGAGTATAGAGAGAAATTAGTTCTAACTGCATAATAATTGAACAAATTCTAACAACCTTGACTTATATCAAAATCAGGGGTGTTAGAATTGGAATGGTTTCTCTATTAATCTAAAAAGTTACTTTCAGACTTATTGTATATGTTGAAATATGTCTTACAGGTTGCATAGATGTCTGCTCAACATTAAAGACCATAGTATTTTATCCTGTTGAACACACATTGTTCTACATTTGGAAGCTGTACATAAAATAAGGAACTCCCCCCCCCCCATTCAAGTTGTACATATTCAAATTACACCTGTTGAATGAGAGGTGAATCCATGCAATTTCAATCAGCATTTCTGAGTAAATATTATGCATGTGAAGAATAAATCTATAACCAAATGGGTATTGCCTGTTAGCACCTATGTATCTGCCACCACCTTTCAAATATATGTAGTATGTGTTAAAATGTACATAGAGAAGAAAAGAAAGAAGGGCCTTGGAACTGGATTTTGAATTAACCAATTTCAGCTTTTATTAAGAAGAAATTAGGTAAAAATTGAGTCGTCATAAGTTCATTATAAATAAGCGAGAAAAGGAGGGAGAACAAAGAGGACACTGTGCTCCAATAAAGCAGAGGAGGAGTTATACAAAGAAAATAAGTGTCAGCATAAGATATTTTCCAGGCTTCTCAAGGGAAGATTTATACCCCTCCAATAAGATAAAGTTGCATGTGATGGGAAGAAAACTGGAAGTGATGAAGAACAACCTATAATGAATCATAGAATGCAATATCAGCTGTACAGCCATCAGTATATTATTCATGTGTGTGTGTGCACGCACAGCCATTAATCTTCGCATAGCACAATTCTTTCTGTACAAAGTATTCCAAGCAGCCATAGGTACATTAGCTCACTTCTGTTTATGGAATGCCTGTTGCTGTAACAGAGAACTTTGCATATCATCATTGCTACATCAGCCTAATTGTGTAACAGGGAAAATAGCATGTTACTCTGATTTTTATTGTAAGGTTACTATAGATTGATATTATAAGATTAGTTTATTAATCTTAAAAAATGGATGTTGGCTTTATTCACAAAAACAAGGGACATTTAGAGAAAAGATGTGAGAAGAGTGAGCAGCTCATAAAAGTTCAGCCAAGAGATATGTTCAGTATAAGAGAGCAATATTGACAAATTGACAGTTGTTACATAGGCCTAATAAATTTCCTTCCAATTGTGGCTACCTTGATGACAGAACAATATATTGGTGTATGGCATATATAACAGGAGGCATATATCTGTAACATACAAAAGTAGTTCTTTAATTGAGAAATTCTACTCTTTGCATGCTAAACTGCTAAGAGTTGTATTGACTGTCAGGATACAAATGCAATAAATAAATACAGACCTGCATAATAATAAAATCTATGAATTAAGAAACAATCCTCTCTTGTTTAGGAAGGTGGTAGAGAGATTATGAGATGCATTGGTTGGAGAACATAGTGGATTATTGTCCATGGATGGGATGCTCCAGGATGAGGGAAAAGATCTTGGAATAGTAGTTGATTGCAGACTGAATATGAGTCTGTAATATGATGCGGCTGCCAGTGCGGTTTCAGGATTCATAAATTGAAGTACAGTTTCCAGATCACAGAAATGTTGACTACCAAGAGGTACCATGTGACTGGTTTCATTCTTATTGAGACTTTTAAGACATTGAACTTACGGACCTTTGCGTTTTAAATGACTATATACGGTACATTAGCTTTAGGAGCTATCCAGATCATGCAGTTTACATGGAAGTCATGTAAAACCCTGTACATGGGGGCATGACATAATGTAATACCTGTATCTCTCTTCTCTGAGAGCTTAAGGGAAGGTGGATCATATATACCGTTTTGATAGGGAATCACAAGAAGTAATAGGTTCACTATTGTGTGTTGCAGACCTCATCTTGAATATCATGTCCAGCTCTGGCATCTCATATTAAGAAGGATTCAAATAACGAACATATTCAGAGAGGAGCAGTTAGGATAATCAAGGACTAAAAAGAAGAGAATTTAAAGGAACGGGGAATGCTTAATTGTGAAAAGAAAAGACTGGGGATATAATAGTGTTCTTTAAATATCTGAAATATACCACCCTGAAGAACAAGATCTGTTCTCCATTGCTCCATAGTGTAGGACATCGAATAATAGATTGAAGTTACAGGAAGGTAGATTCTCATTGATTGCTCAAAAAGGCTTCCTAATACTCAGAACAATTTGGGAGTGGAACTGGCAGGTTCTTTGTTCACTAAATATGTTCAAGCAGAAGCTGGATAGCCATCTGTCATGGATGCTTTAATTTGAATTCTTGCCCCAAGATGGGAGTTGGTCTCAATGGCTTAAATGTCCTATTCCAACTCTATGATTATTTGTTTCTGGATGCTTTGCGAGGAAAGATCCTCAGATTCTAGGACACCTCTCCCAGGCATATCCTCCAGGAAGTCCTGCAGTCATTACCTCTGGAGCTGTCCATGTTAGTTTCTTCCGACTGGGTTCAGTGGAAAGGATACAGATTATTTTAAAAGGTATTAAAGAAACTGACAAGAAGTGATTTGGTGGTTCTTTGGAAGCAACCAAGGTGTTGTTCTAGATTTCTTTACTTGGCAAAAATGTACTGAATTTCTCTGCTTCTCTTTGGTAGTTACAGAGATCTGTTATTGCTTCTGTTTCTATCCTGTAAAGAAAGAAGACAGGTAGGCTGCCCTAATTTTTGGTGTGTAAGAATTCACAATTAATCAACGCCCAGTATTTACAACAGTTTGTCATATGGGTTCAGCTTACTTTACTGTTGAAAACAAATGGTTGTGCTTTATCAGCAGTAATTAATATTTTACTCTGCGAAAGGAGCAGCTTACTTTGCAAAATGTGATCAAATGAGGAAGGGCTTTCAGAAAAGGGAAAATTAGAAGTAACCTTGGAAGGGAATAATGGAACCAAGTGATTTTTTTAAAAAAAGGATTTTAAACAGCTTAATGAAAGGGCATGAGTACTTAAAGAAAGAACCCATGATTGACTTTGAGAGCAAGCGATTTCATTTCAGTATGTGAATTCAGATCTCTCCATAGCAGAGAGAAGATTTAACAAGCTAGATTTAACAATCTAAAAGATGCTAGTATTATTTCTAGACTGGCACTGTTATATTATTTCAGTTGTCACATGCTGACTAGATTTCTGGGATCATAGTGCAAAGTGCATGGTACATTTTTTTAAAGCAAAATCTTATCAACATGCAGTTACACAGTGGATTAATAGTAACAGCTGTTGAGGAACCAAAGGATTATAGCCACCATACAACATTATCAGCAATGAAATGCATAAGTCATGAGACTTTTATTGTCAGACAACTCCAGAGACTTAGAGGATTATATGCAGAATTAAGGATATTTCTGCAGAGTTTGTTTTGATGTGCTTTTTGAATAGCCATCATCTTTTACAACATTTTCTTTGTAAAGCTCAAATCATGAAAATTAAAGTTGTCTTCACTCGTTGCTTAAAAATTAAAGAAAACATTAACATTATTCCATATTTTTTAGGCTTGAGTATAATTCTAACTACATGGGAGAAAGGGCAAGCAGCCCTTGTTTACTTCCATATGTAAGTTAACTGAAGTCATCCCTAGTAAGACATTCAGCTGCTTTTGCTGGGCATCCCACAGCCAGCAGGAAATCATGCCACCCTAAATCTTGCCGCCACCACAGTGTCCTCTAGCTTGGAACAGGTCATTGCTGCTCTGCTGTCCAAACAACCTGAATGCACAACATTCTAAAGCTGTAATTGGTGTTGGTGCTTTCCTTGGCTGAAATTCCAGCTCTCCCCAGAACACTGGGCATGCCAGTTGGAGGAGGCTTCTCAGTACATGAAAAGCTTCCTACAGCTGGTATGCAGAACACTCTGGCTACTCCATGCAATGCATTTTTTCCCCTTTCACATTGTACCATCAACTGATTGAACTTAAAAAGAAATGAAAAACTCAATCAACAGGTCAACTCTTCAACTTAATGATCCCTGGGTGGCAGTAGAGAGTAAACTTGTTTTTTTATTTTTGTTTTTTAATCTCTTGGCTGCCATCTAGCAGCTGTCTAGATTTCTGCAGTTGAAATGCATCCAGTAGATGCACTTTTAAACTAGCAGTTTAAAATATTTCTCCTGTCAATGTTAAATGTTTTATATGCATCATTGATAAAAACAGTGATGCTTCAGGTTCTATTTTGTATTTATTTTTGCTTTTGTTAAAATATAATCAGCAGAAATAAATGAATTTAAAAGAAAAATAAATGAATTCCAAGCTACAGTATGAAATATCAAAAGGTTATCATCTTGGTATGAAAACCCATGGAAATTGGAATGCACTCATGAACCCAAATAAGCAAATAGGGTAAGAATATATTGTTATAGCACAACTAAAACATATAAAAGTTAAATTTTACACACCACTTGCATAATCAGATTCCTAGAGATGGGAAATGCGTATATATTATTCATTGACGTATGTTGAAAAAATATTTTCTGTTCTGAGATTACCTATAATTCCACATCTCCCATTTAGAACCCTATTTGCACAAGGGACCTTTCCCCATTCAGTTCAATGAGGAAAGAATCTGTTTTATTTTATTTTTTTCAGTGCAGAAAGAGCTATGAATTCACTGAAATGAATCAGAAGGTTTTCACAGCCATAAGAGTTTCATATGCTCAACAAAAATCACAGGGACAGAAAAAATGCTGATCACACCATTTATGTTAATTCACACAGTCATATAAATTCCAAAATTATGTCTGAGATAATAAAATGCTAATTCCCTCTCAAATGGATGAGAGGATGAAAATTGAAGTTGAAAATAAGACTCAAGTGTTTTGTCTTCTTCCTTATAATTTCTAGGCAAAACCAGCAAATTAACCTTCTATATCAGAAAATAAGAGAGAATGAACTGCGAGCTCAACAAGCAAGATTGGGGCACATTGTGAATTGTGAAGAATCGTACATGAATAGTTTCCAGGTAAGATAAGGTTCTTGATCTGTATTTGTTATTACTAGTCCAATGAAAATCCTAAACAATTCAATATCCTTAAGGACAAGTTTATGTTAATATTACAGTGAAGCATCCCACTTTCCAGATTTTGAAGTATGAAAGGAATCAGATGCATAGTGTAAAGGTGCATTCTTGTATTTGAATATCATTTGAAATCAGTTCAATATATGCATTACTACTTGGTTAACACTGATTTCAGAATTGGCACATATTATATTTAAATGCTTCAGGTTTAAACATCTGAAATAAAGAGAGCTTTGTTATACATATCAGTAAAATTATTGTTGTATCGTTAGGGGTCTGAGTAGCAGTATTACTTTAGAATGCAGACTTTTGATCTTATAGCTGATTTTCCCTCATCCTTCTCTGTGATATGCTTTTTTATATATATTTATAAAATTTCTGACATTGAAAAATTTTATCATGAAATCTTTCAATTATAGTTTAACTTGATACACATCCAATGGGTATTGGATGCCTTTTCTAAATGTATAAATATATATCCCAAGCAAGTTTCTCTTCAAACCAAGTTATGAAAATGAGTGTAAAAGGGTCAGTCTATAAAAATGTGATTACACTTTTTCTAGATGATATCATTTCAGCCTTTAGAGTGGAGATTCAAACTTTAGGCTGGGATATAATAATTCTGTATATTGAAAATTCAGTTCTTTACACAAATCTAAACCTACAGATAGAAAACTTATTCTTGGACTGGGTTGCATTAGCAGTATGTGGCCCTCCAGATGTTAGGTTGAATATGACTGCCAGCATTCCTTATCATTAGCCATGCTGACTTGGTCTGTTATGCATTTTGATTTAACAACATCTAGAAAGCCACAGGTTAACCTTTTAATTAGGAGAAGAGTATTCTTCTTTACATGCTAGTTTTATAGGACTCAGGCAAGAAATGGGAAACCTAATCCTCCAATTATTGGGAGGCTCAAGTGACCAGACATCATAGGTGCTGTGGTCCAAAATATTTGACAAGGCACAATAGGGATGACAATATTTGTTCTCTGTCAAAATGGCCACTTTGATTCAAAAATTCCAATGAGAGAACCTTTCTGAAAAGCCCTCCTCCAGCTATGTGCAGTTAATAACAGCATCATCAAGGGATCTTTTTTTAAAAATCTTTTTCTTGTGATTTCCTTAAAGCAGCCTGAGTATGAGAAAACATCAATGCAGGCTCAGTTTGCAGAGAGATCTTTGGCCCAGTGTGAAAGGGAGCAGGTAGAACGAAAGCTTGCATCAGTACAAAATAAGGAGCTACAACTCAGTGAGGTTTTGAAAGAAATAGTAAACAAATCCAATGAAGATAAAAAGAAAATGGAAGAGAAGGTGAGTCTCATATTGATGTAAAATGAATCATTTGATCACTGTAATACAAACATACATTGTTCAGTCATGTATGCTGCATTGAAGGCTGCAGATTTATTCATTGGCTCTCTCGATGACTGACTAGGATGATTTTCCCCTTTCACATAACTGAGAGAAATGTTCTTCTAGACTGCTTCAAAATGCCCTACATCCAGATAAAGTTAACTATTTATTTCATTGAAATCAGTTGGACAAATTGGTTGTAACAAGTCCCTTTGATTTAAATGAGAAGTTGAAATTACTAGTCTAGATCCAACTGATTATCTTGTAGGATGGAGATTATACTTCATGTGATAGCCCAGTGTGCATAGTTAATTCAGTTTCACCATTGTTTTTCCATCCTTTATTAAAGTTGCCCTCAGATTTTGTTTCAGATTATAGCCACCCTCTTTAAATACACTTAAAGAGGAGTTATATTAGTCCTAAAATCATATATTTCAGCATATATTCTTGTACTGTGATATTATTAATGTTAGTGCCATGGCTGAAAAGAATCAATCCAGCAGGAACTACAATTTATGTTTGGTTCAAAAATATGTGTTAAAATTCTGTACAGTTCTGTACAGTATGAAAAGTGATTCTTCTAATTATGAAAAGGGATAAAATATGCAAGGTAGTATTGTACAACCCTATGAATCAAGTTATGGCTTTTAGCATTGTGTTTTAATGTTTTTATTGATAGGTTCGCATGTTTCCATGTTTGTATTGATTGTTTTGGATATTTATGTGTGTTTGTGTATGAATTTTTCAATACAGGTAAAAATAAATAAACAAAAAGAAAGTAAGAAAATATTTGTTTCATTTTTGATGCTATTGTGAGCCACACAGTCACTTAGATGAGATGGGCAGCTATACAGAATGAATGAATGAATGAATGAATGAATGAATGAATGAATAAATAAAATTTTTAAATGGCCTTCGAGAAAACCCACCTTATTTTTCCACTGGCTTGCTGATCACTCCTGTTAGCAGGAAACTTGGGTATTCTGTTTCTAGTTTCTCTTTGGTTTTTTTAATGCTGCCTAATAATCTCTACTAGTTTTTATTATTGTCAAAACTAGTACAAGTGGTGTGTAATTGTTTATTTTTAATGTGGTTAGTGAATTTAACAAACACAAACAATAAAACAAGCTAATATAATGGGCATTAATTGATACTAAACACAAGTGTCTTTTGTGTTTGTGAAAAAATATTTTGTACTTATTCAAAATGAAATGAATACATTATTCAGAAAACCATTAAGCACTTGAACTATTATGGAGTTAAAGTTAAACTACTAGAGTAAACTAGTAGAGTAAACTAGAGTTAAACTACTATGGAGTTTCTTTTACATTTTAGACATGGTGTACCAGCAGAAATAAAAATTATGCTATTTTGGATAAGTTTTTTTTCTGTTAAGGCAGGTAATCTCAGCAAGCAGAATTAAATTGCTCCCCAGAGTGCTGGCGTTAATAAAGCAAAACGTAGTTCAGGATAGACATGTGTTTAAATCCTGTAGAAATGTTTAATTATGGAGGTAGTAAGCAAAAGCACTTAGTCTTTGAAAAAATAAACATCATATTACATCCTGTTTATCTTTTCATTACAATTATTTTGTAATGAAATAAATGATGATTGAGCTTGAAGAATTTCTCAATTTTTATTGTTTTCTTACTTCACATTGAATAACATCTAATCTTACCTTTTTTCTAGCTCAAAACCCGAGATAGGTACATAAGCAGCCTAAAAAAGAAATGCCAGAAAGAATTGGAGCAAAATAAAGAGAAACAGAGAAGAATTGAAACACTTGAAAAATACCTGGCTGATTTGCCAACACTGGATGATGTTGAGAGTCAAAGTAAAGAGGTAATTAATGCTTTGTATTAGAAAGCAGCTTAACTCAGAAGTTTTGTTGATTGCATATGATACATTTTATTGCTTCATACCTGCACACAGTGTATTCTATACAGTTTCCACACTTTTAACAGAATATCCCTTTAACAATCAATTGTGTTCAAAGTTACTGAATTCACAGACACAGACATAGATCCAACAGAGTTCCTGTACAAAGGGAATAGACCTACTATTGGAGCATCAATTCCTTGCCTGTCCTGCAGCCTCCCAGATCTGTTTTCCAGATGTTATTTGAGAGCTTCTGCAGAAGGAAGAAAGAGAAGAGAAATAGAATGCACAAATAGAAATTGCTTGTGTAAAGTTTTTGTTTAGCCTGTAAGATTTTAAATTCACAGTTACATCAATGTGTGTCTATATGTGTGTGTGTGCATGTGTATTTATGGAAGAAATAGTTATGAGAAACAATGATAGTAATTTCCAATTTCATAATAATCCAGTTACTGCAATATCTTTAACATCTTGGACCCATACCTAAGAAAATTAATAGGTGTGGGGTTATCATAATTGCAGAATTAATTTTCTAGAAAAGCCCAACATATTCTATCAGTGTAATACAAAAGAACAAGAATTAACTATTTACACTATAAAAATTGTTAAAAATGAGACTTTCCTCTACCCTTAAAATGTAACAATCTTTTAAACTGGATGTAGATATAATGCCTTAATGATGATTATATCAGAGACAATAGCAAACTTGAACATTTGTGCTTTTGCTGTTTAATAATAGTACAGAGTCCAGACAAACTTTTAGTTGGACATTTTGGATCTTGAAATGCCTCACAACAAAAGAAATGAAGAATCATCTTGGATGTTAGAAACTTCAAAAAGATTCTGAACATAGAAAAGCTTGTTGAAAAACATATTGTGCTTTGTATTTGATGTATTATTTTCTTTATAGAATAATAAGACTAATCATTTGAGACAGAACTGGATAAAAAGGGAGGCCTCAGTCCCTGAAGAAAACTATGCCCAAATGCATCAAGCATGTTACATTTACCAATAAAATTAATTTTAACAAATATTTTATATTCTTAGCACATTTGTACAACTTTTTTATTATAGAAAACCTCCTACCAAAAGAAAGCTTAAGTGTGAATGATCTGTATATATTTTTTGTACAGAATCTGTCTCAAAAGGCAAAGAAACACTTCTAATTTAAATGTAGACTTACACAGTGCTTACAGAGTGTAATACTGGAAGTTGTGTGCATTATCCCTTGAAATCTTTCTAATTTGTAAACATGATGATTTCTGGAGAATGTTAAAAGTTACTGCCTTGCCATGCTCCTTTTACTTTGATAGCCACTGCAAACCATCTCCTTTTGTTTTGCATTTCTCTTTCAAACTGTGCCAAGATAACAGATTTTATTGTTGCAGGTCTGTGGAAAGATTTTTTTTTTTACACCTTCCAAGTCCCTGCAGTTTTCTTGGCAAGATTTTGAAAGTGGTCACCCAGCTGGCTTCATGCCTAAGACAGGACTAGAACTCACCATCTCCTTGATTGTAGCCTGGTGCCCTTAAGCACCCCACCAAACTGGCTCTCATGGAAAGCATAACTCTGCATAATAAAAACTTCCTCTGTTTTATAGCTACAAGTTCTGGAGGAAAAGAATAAGCAACTGAAAGCTACTATGGTTAAGCTAGAAAACGAATTGGAGGAGTCCAAGACACAGTGTAAAGAAAAAGAATTGCAGCTTGTGTGCCAGAAGAAAAAAGAAAAAGAGTTGATAATTGCAGTGCAAAGGTATGGGTAACGTAGTTGGTCATCTTCTGGCTGTGTTGCTGCATACAGGATATTTCCATCTAGTGGCAAGCTGATCGAATTCTAGTTCAGCTGGTGGAAATAAACTTTGCTCTAGTGTGAACTGCTTTGCTATGTTATACAGAGGGCAGGGAAGCCACATATTGCAAAAGGAACTCAGTGTGTATTCATTAATACATTGCATTGTTGTGCTTTTAGGGAAGAAGGTGTGGAAAACTTCTGTTAAATTAATTATTTAATTCCCTAGTCATAAGAGGTTTTTTGCAAAATGTTAAAGAAATTAAAAGAAAAATTGATAATTATCCAGTAAAGATAGTAACAAAAAGTCATCTTAGTATTTCGTTTTGAATACCCTAAAGTATGTGCCACTTGAGTTCATGACCCTGTGTTCCTGAAAGATAGATGCAACAAACAGCTTGTTCAGATGATGAAAGGTTAGATATTTAGGGACAGTTAGCCAAATCTCTGAGTGCATTGTTTCCATCTTACATCTGGTACCTCTTGTGTTTGTGAGAGTATAATCCACCATGCTGGCTTTGCGTTCTCCTGAAAGTCTATACATATTTGAAGCAGAGTCTCGTTTCTATATTTAAACAACAATTTTCATTGTCATAATATTTTTATCTTAGAAACATAAGTAAGACTCTTACCTGCTCCAGAACATTTGTATGTCATAGAGGTATACGTGGACAATCTTTTCTTGGGCGTAATGTTTAACTAATGTGGGAACCAAGCTATATTTCAGTGTGAGTTATCCATGTAATTTTTCTTGTTTTGAATAGAAACTTTTCCCCTGACTTGCCTGCTTGTTTGTTTTGCTTACCTAAATGCAAATTACAGCTTGCAACAGAAAGTAGAAAAATGCCTGGAAGACGGTGTCCGCCTTCCTATGTTGGACACAAAACAACTTCAGAATGAAAATGAATGCCTCAAAGAAAAAAATGAGAAGGCTAATAAGGTCAGTACATTAAAATGGTCATGGTTAACTAAATGTCAAGTGGATTCAGCTTTGACCCATATTGCTCTCATATTAGTTTTTCCTCTATGTTGCCTTTAACAAGAAAAGAAGTACCAGCAGGTGCTTTTACCCAGGATAACTATACACCCAGATAGGGAAACAGAGATTGAGAGTGGAGGTAAATCTAAGCAAGTCTCCAGTTGCTTACTTGCTGCTGTTAGCATATGTGTATTTATATAATACTGAATGGAACATCTTTTATTCCAGCATTACTACCTAAGAATTATAGATATATTTTCCTAAGTACTTAAAAATACCCCACTGGGATCAAGCCAGGCCCCATCTTCATCCAGCATTCCCTCCACTGATAAAATTGCCCATGGATTCCTACTCTTTGCTTTCTGGTTTTAACTGGTTAGCAATTCATAATGGATAGGTCCTTTTTTCCCATGACCAAGTTTACTTAAAACCTTTGAAGAGGGATTTTGTCAAAGGTTTCTTGAAAGTCAAGAATATAGTGGCAACAAAGTAATCAACATGCCTATTAGTATTCTCAGAAGCTCCAGAAGGCTGGACACCTTTGTGGAATCCATGCTGATTTTATTCAGCAAGGTTGTTCTTTAGTGGTTTTTCTCTGATTATCATTTCTACCAATTTTCCAGATACATATATTAAGCTGACTAGATCTCCCCTGGGTCCCTTTTTAAAGACTAGTATCACTTTCATTCCATCCTCCTGTAAATGCCCTTCAGAATACTAGCACCTCTAAGCTCCCCATCAGTCCTTCTGCATTGCTAATTCAAAACCTGATGTTGCAATATCTTTTAGAAGAATATGTCCTTCAAAAGGATAGAGGAAACCAGAAACACAAATAAGAATATTATTACCTTCTTTTCCTCAACAGGTCATAGACAATCAACAAAATGAGATCACTGAGATGACTTTAGAGATACAGGTAAAGCAATGTGACTTTCACAGGTTTCACATTTACCTTCTGCGTCACAAGAAAGCATTCTCATCATAAAAGGAAGCTGCAAATGCACTTCATAAACTACCATTACTTTAGTGATACTTAAATAATAATTTATACTACTGCAGTCATTTAGCTTTCTGCTTTATTCATAATCTGAAGTTTCTAGAACTGAAAGTCTGAAAATAAAGCATACAAACGAATAAATGCTATAACCTGGGAGTTGGTCTAAACATAGCCAGCCTGAATAGAAGAGGGAAAGCCTATCCTTATAGACCAGTTATTTCTCCATCAGCAGGGCTTCTATTGTGTCAGTGAAGTGAGGCTGGAATTTCTTGATTAATGTTGGTAGGCATCTGTCTGCTGATTTATGGCTAGCTGACTTGCCTAGAATGCCTTACGACACTGGGGATAGAGTTTTTGCTGAAAGAGGGTAAGATGGTAGTTGCCAGTTTCACACCCTGTTCATTTTCAGTAGTAAAAACATAAAGGTATAAGAAATACAGTTATAACTGATGTCTTAACAATATATCTTTGCTGGTATTTTAGCATTAGCTTTCCCATTATTTTCTCATTACATTTTCATGCCTTTAACTTGCTCTGTATAAAAATATGTGTTAGTCTGTACTTTAAAAGAGAAGCAAGAAAAGAAAACCACAATAGTTATTCAAAAATTTTACTTGTAGAGTAGAGATCTTTGGGTGTATTCACAAATCACCTCAACAAGAAAAAAAAAATTCTGATCACAAAGTGTTTTTTGTCTGGCAAAGAGGGTTTGTGAGAACTGATCATTTTTGAATGTGAGAAATTGTTCAATTGTTGTTAGAGAATTGGACTACTTAGCTTATTAACAGTGGCTATATATTACATAAAATGAAAAACAGCCACAATGTATCTAGTATCAGTGAAATTTTTCTAACTGATCAGCTGTTACATGCATAGAATTATCATGCGGGAGCATCAGGAATTTATGAAGATGGTGTTGAAATGGTTGAAACCGATGACAGTTATGCAGATGCAACACACAGAGTATTGCTCTTCTGCCACTAAAGCTTGAGTGTTGGTTGACATGTTTATAATCGGTAAAATATAGACTTCTACACATTTTAAGTTACTTATTTTGCTAATATGATTCTAGCTTAATATGTCATAATTTATTAAGCAGAGAATTAGCTTAACATGCGCTAATAACTCTTCCTTCATCTAACTTCTTGTATACCAATTTTGTACTTCCATTCTCGTTTCTTTAAATGTTAGTTCCATATTATGGTTTAACAGAATTGTGATTGGATTTCAGTTTGGTAACAAGGATGTAAGTTTATGGTTTGATCCTTCTTTCAGGTTATTATGCTAACATTTAACTGCAGTCAACTTTAAGCTCCAGTTAGCTTTAGGTTAACTGGAAACTGCAGTTAAAGAAACCACAACATAGTGCTGAAATTTACTTGCAGTGGAAACATACGAATCCAGTGCTTATTCTTGGTCTAAGGATAAGTATTTATGAAGAATAAGATCAGCTGAACATAAATGAGCCTAGGACATTCTTCAGATTGGTTATTACTGAGATGTGTGGACGTACTCACAGAATTCCCAGCCAGCATGGTCATTCTGATCACTCCGGGATTGACGTCCACAGGGCTTTGGCATCTAGACTGCCAAGGTTGAGGATGGGTGACTCAGAGCAAATAAAGCAAGTGGAGGTTTGAAACAGAAGTAAAGCATAGATCTGGAAAACCAGTAGAAATAGGCAGGGATATGCTAGTAACATTAGGAATTAGAATTCATATCCAGCTGCAGACATAGCAGGAGGGAAGGAAGAAAAGAAAGACCTCGTGAAAAGAAGAACTATCTGAGAAAAAGAAACATTCTGCAAGGAAGTAATGTTTTTTATAGGAGCAGATATGTTTCACTTTTATTTCCCTCTTTCCTTTTTGAAGAGTGTTGAAAGCTGGACTGTTGAGATTCCCATTAGTACAGACTCTGCCCTGTTGCAAGGACAGGAAAAAATGTTGGCAGTACTTGACAATCCTTGCGCAATCCAGGCTATTTCTTGTTCAGTTCTGAGGGAATGATAAGCAATTAATTCATACATAGTAAAAGGAAGAGGGGCAGGAGTGGATGCCAAATTTGATGCTTTCAAAGCCAGAAAAGTTCTTTGATATGAAATGAGCTGTTTGATATGAAGTGAGTTGGCAGTTGGGCTTCTGTCCAGAGTATCCCAGAGTGTGAGGATTTATCAAGTCTTTAATAAGGGAAGACAAAGCATTAAAAAATTCCTTTGTGCTGGTCATGATTATATTTACATAAAATTGATATTGGTTATGATTTGTTAAAAAATAGAATGTCTGGAACTGATTTTGTTGAACAGTAATTTTCGTTCTAGTGCAGTAGAATTGTATTTTAAACTCTTTGTCATGATATTTTTCAGTTAATTTTATCCTTTCCCAGAAATACAGTCTGAACAGTCCAGCAGTCTTATTCTTCAGAGATGATCAATAATGTACTAGACATACAGGGAAGGGGGTCAGTTGTTCTTTCAGAAGTAAAACAGACAAGGCTGTTGCAAAGTTGTATTAGGGCAACATGTCAGGAGGAAAGGAATTTAGCCCTCTTTCATTCACAGTACAAATGGACCTTCTTATCTACAGTTCTGTGTATCTACATTTGATAAATAAAATGGAGAAATCTTCTTTCTCCATCGCCAGTTCCAGTTGCTGACAGGTGGGGAGAGGTCCAGCCTAAAGCTCCTTTATGTTCTCGCCTCTCCTGTTTTAACATCTATGTGGAACTGTTGGTTGAGGTCATCCGTCAACATGGCGTCAGGAATCATCAGTATGCTGATGACACTTAGTGTATATCTTGACCTCTAGTAAACCAAGTGATGCTGTTAAGATCTTGTCCCAATGACTGGAGGGGTTTCAGGTCTGGATGAAGTGGAACAGGCTTAAACTCAACTTTGACAAGAGCAACTAGATACAAGAATTGATTCTTCCAGTGCTCGTCATTCTCCATATTTGGCTCTGAATGGGGTTACACTTCCCTTAACAGAATTGGTGCACAATTTGGGAATCCTCTTGAATTCAGCATTCCTGCTAAAAAAGCGGGTGGCAGCTGTGTTCAGAACATCCTTTAAATAGATCCATCTGTTGCACCAATTGCATCTTTTCCAGGACCGGGAGTCCCTTCTCAAGGTCTCTCATGTGTTGATTATTGCAATGCACCCTATAGAGAACTGCCCTTGAAGATCACACAGAAGCTAAAGCTGTGTCAGAATACATCAGCAAAAGCAGTTATGAGTATGCCTATGTAAAACCCTGTCATGTGAGCTGAATTGGTTATTAGTGAGTTTCCACATGTAAGTCAAGGTGCTGGTTATCACTTATAAAGCCCTTCATGGCATAGGCCCTGTCTGTCTGAGAGACCGTCTGACTCTTCTAGTGTCTGTCCAACCTGTTCAATGCAGTTGGTATACTTTGGATCCCATCAGTCTCATTTGATGGGGCCTAGGAAGTGTGCCTTCTCTGTTATGGTGCCTGGAGTAGCATCCTACCAGAAGATTGGACTGCCCCTAACCTGCAAGTCTTTAAACAATCTCTGAAAACCTGATTTCCATCCTGAAGCTCTGGGATAGGTCTGGCCATCTGATATGCAGTGTCTGTTTCAGTTAGGTATGTCTGTTTCTATAAAAGAATTTAGAGATGGAATGTATTCAAGAGCTGCTAAAGAGGGACATGGACGAGCAGTTACACAGTCCACAGATTGAAGCAAGGGTGAGGAAGAAACTTAAAATAACCTCATCTTGAGTTTGTCAAGTTGAGACAAATAAAAGGCTGGAGAGGCTTTTAAGATTGAGGTAGACCAGGTTAAGAAAAAGACACCATGGGGATTCGAAGTATGCTACTTTATTGTTGTAAGGTGTAACAGAATCTTGAAAGCCTGTCCAAGTTTTGAAATATTGTCTCTATTTTTAATCTGTATACTGTCCAGAATCAGCATTGAGTTGGGCAACCTTATAAATGTAAATAAATAAATAAAGTCAGTCACTCAGTCCAGAATGTATTATCTATGGTAAACAGTTTTGTGTATCTGCAATTGTTGGTGCATGGTTCTGATCTGTCTGCTATTTTGACAGTGCAAAAGTAAGCATTAAGCCTCCCCCTCACCCCCACATTAATTTACCAGTGACCTGCAGGGTTCTGGCCTTATATGGTCGTCATCTTCCTGCATGTTACCTTCTCCACAGTGAAAATGACAGCTCTGCTGAGAGAAGTAGCAAATGTTCACACAAAATATTGCTCTTGACCACGAAGGTAAAACTGATAGGCATGTTGGACAAGCAAGCTGCTAAACAAAAAAAGCACACTGATTGCAAACATAACTATTCCCATCACAACACAGAGTTATGAGATAGCAATACCAACATGTTCCATGGCTTTTAAGAGGAGGAAGTTGATGAATGTTCCAGTGGTTCCTTATTTTTTGCTGCTAATTCCAACAGTAGAGTGAAGGAATTCCACTGCTTCTTCACTCTATATTCTTTATTTTGAATAAAATACAGTTTTTAAAATATCAAAAAATGTCTTTATTTTTTATTATTATCTTTACTTATTGTTTTCTGTTTTATTCAAAATAAAGACTAGGGGAGTAGAAGACTGGAGATGGTCAAAGTATGGTACCCTTAACTCTGCTATTTCTTTGTATTTCTAGTGATTTGGGGTCATATTCCAGGGGCTATTGAAGCTATACTCTTATTCTCATAGGCTCTGGGTCTTGTTACCTATAGTTTTGTTGTTGATGTTTATATGTTGGAATGTTAGAGTGTAACCTATATATAATTGAAGTACAGAGGGGGATTACAAAGCTGTAACTCCCACCTGTACTTCAAATGAGGTCCAACTCTACTTCAAAATAAGGATATGGTCAGAGCCATCCTGACCTAAAAAAGTCAACTGTTATGTACCTTTGCATGACTTAGGACTCAGTGCCTTTTTGACATGTGGAATAGTTCAGCACAGGAAAGTGCTCCTTATGGTCTCTCAGAAGATATATTTTCCTATCTTAAGCCATCAGTAACTGCATTGTGGTCAGGCAGCAGCAGTTCTTCTCCAGAAACTAGAGCAGATAAATGATGATTGAACATAAAATCAGAGGTATTGTCAGTTTTGTTAGCTAACAGCCTTTGAAGCACCAGGGGATAGATATCTTCCCTAAAGACTTTTGTCTTTCCCTATAAGGGGAGATGGAAGCTGTGGCAAATTTAGTCCAGAATTCCATTAAATCTCTTCCTGTCAAGATCAGAGCTAAGAAGAGCCTTTTTCCTCACCAGAACTGACAAGCAGATAACACAGATTGATTCAGTGGAGAAATGCCTTCTGAATCTTTGCTTATAGTGTAGACATTCAACTGTTGTCCAAGGAAATTGTCTCTCCTCCCTCCAGTCCTTGATAACCTGAAAGTGATAGATCAAAATGCCCATACTTTGTGATCTGGTAATCTTGAGATGGCTGCAGAGATACTGATCCTTGTTTCTTTAAATTATGAAACAAGTATTATTTTCCCCTGATTTCAGATGTCCTGGGCATAGCTCAGTTCATCATCTAGTAACATCTGTTCTATCAGCAGCTGCTTAGAAATTAAAGTAAATCTTATAATGACCCTATGCTTGTTTTTAAAAGATTCTGAAAATTTTGCTCTTCAGAAAAACTTCAGCAAACCATGTAGCCTTTAGCTCAGACAGGCACTGAAATATCAGAAATATCAGAACTATTGGATTCTTCTTCTTTTTTTTCATCTTTTTCTCATTGAAGGCTAGACAAAGGATTAAATCAAAATCATTGAGGTGCCAGTTGTCTGGTTTGGCCAGTGCCTTAATGCTTCCCCATCATGTGAACCGTTTCATTGGACTGAATCATAATTACTTGGCAATAGCAAATTTAAATACTGTTTGAGTCTTTATATTACTTTATTTTTTTTCTCTGAATGTTTTTGATAACTATGATCAAATAAAATTTTAAATTTTGGTGGGCAAAGAAAAGACATCAGCAGACCCAAAGAAGTGTCACATTAGTTGGCAGAGAAACTCTGAAATGTATCATGGTACAGTTGCTGAGTTCTGCTTCTTGTTCATTCAAGAAGGAGAATCTAAAAAGGGAGATTGACCTCCTCCTTGTTGATGGTAAGGTTCACTGCTGAGCAAAGGCCGAACCTGAATGTTCCCCATTCCTGCAGTAGGGTTGTTGCAGGGAAGAGAGAATCGTAAGGGGCTTTTTCATTTATATCTTAGTATACGGGGGCTCTACTTTCACTATCAATCACTAATCAACAAGGAAAATACAGTGCTGAAAATATTTATTTATTTATTTATATAACATGTGTAAAGGTAATTTTCTCATTTCCCCCCAGTCTATGCAAGAAAAGCTTTTGCAAGGAGAACTAACAATTCAGAAACAAAAAAATGAACTTGAAGAAAAGGAAAAGAGTGTACAGCAGTTAAAGGAGGTACTTCTTGAAGTAAGTTTCTGAGATCATCTCTATATCAAATTTACCTGTCTGCCTTCTTTTACATATATTGTGAGTGAATTGTGAAATAGATTTCCCAACTTGAGGGTAAGTACCAGTACTTTTTCAAAAACATAAGTACTGGACAGGAACCAAAGCCATTGATGAACATCTTACTGTAACTGGGAATGTCTCTGATGGACCAATAGCTTGTAGTGACAGATTGATTTGCTGTTTGAAACAAGCAAACAAAACCTGCCTGGTTTCAGTCCTTACATTATCAGTCAGAAGTGGTGATTGGACAGTGTTATCACTAATTATTTGTTTCAATTAATCATTAATTTGACAGTGTAGGAGCTCTTCTTGCTTCTAATAAAATGCCGAGTACTGGAACTTAAACTCTGCAGCAGGATTTTTTTCCATGTATAGACTAGGATCTAAAGAACTACACTGCTAAGTTTGCATACTCAAAGAGGCTTTTGTGTTCAGGATCCTAAAATGTAGCCTGATTGTTTTTTACCTCTCTTCTTCAGTATAGCTGGGAAAAGGGAGGTATGTTTTGCTATATGCAGAAAGAGAAGGATGTACAGGTAGTCCTCGCTTAACGACGGTAACTGGGATTGACAACTCCATCGCTAAGTGACATCATAAAGTGTGATGCCATGTGACCATGCCAACTTACAACAGCAGTTGCAGCAGTTCCAGTTGCCATTGTTAAGTGAATCCCATGCAGTTGTTAGGCGATGTCACATTATTGCCATTTGTGACCTTTTGCCGGCTTCCCCGTTGACTTTGTTGGAAGCTGGCAGTGAAGGTCACAAATGGCAATCATGTCACTAGGACACTACAACCATCATAAGTGCAAGCCAGTTGCCAAGTACCTGGATCACAATTATGTGACCATGGGAATGCTGCGATGGCCACAACTATGAGGACCAGTCATAAGTCTCCTTGTTCAATGCTGTCATAACTTTGAACGGTCACTAAACAAGTCATTAAATGAGGACTACCTGTACTGTGATCGATTATCTGTCTGAGATAAGAAAAATATGCTTATACAGTGTTAGATCATCAGCCAAGTATGGTTTGTTTTCTGACACTATGCCTAATATGTGACAATGTGGACATTTGTTCCATCAAAACATACCATAATGTGAACATGTAATGTCCACCACTCTGGCCTTCTCTTTCCCCACAGTTTTCTTATTAGATGCCAAGCATCTGGTTCGTGCCCCTGAATGCAGAGTTCCTTCAGAATAAAATATAAGCAAATCAATTTTCAGATGCCTATTTTCAATTAGAATTTTTCTGTAAATAAAACAGGTGAATAAAATCATTTTTCTTCTTTTATTTTCATCTTGTTTTAATGAAGAACCAAAGATTTATGGAAGAAAATGCAAGTTTGAGAGAACAGATTCATCAGATGGAGCAGTCCAGACAACCAGTGGCTGAAAAGTTACCTGTGGCAAATCAGTTATTCATAGAGATGTCTCACTGCCTGTTTGACTTGAAAGCACTTTGCAGTATTCTCACTCACAGAGCTCATGGCAAGGAACCTGACCTCTCCTTGCTGCTCGGAATCCAATGTAAGTGATGCGGACAGAGACGCCTACTGTACCTTTTGGCGCTGAGAAGATCTATGAAAGGAAAATCTAGGGATGTAAGTGAGAGAGGAATAGGAGGCTCCAGATCGATGTACATGTCCCACTTAGGTAAAATATTAATAAATACATGTCTTAAGTCATCTGAAATTGGAAGAACAGGTATATACAGTATGTGAAATGCTCATTTTCCACAATTGTAATTCAGAAATGTTCAGTTATGTTTGAGAATTAAATTTAAAAATAGTGTTAATCTTAATATGACATTGGCCTCCTTGAAGCTTTTCCGCAGCATAGTTTGTATGATCTTTGTGGTCTCCAAGCTGTCATCCAGTAAGTTCCATCTGCATCTGTAGGAACCCTTTAGAAATTAACACATTTAGTGAAGTCATGCTGAAAATTGGTTCTTTGAAACAGGGAGCATGCAGTGCCACTGCTAGATTTTTACCTCAGAGTACCATGCTCTCATTTTATCTACTTTAAAAAGCCCAAGGAGCAAGAAATTCTAGTATTTTCATTTGAGTGAGTAGAGCTCCCCAAATTTTCCCGGAATATACTTTTTTAGGGCCCCATTTCTTTATGCCAGTTTGGATCTCACAGGTTCTGGTGACTGCCCAAATTGGGATTTATTGTCAACTTTTCTTCAAGTTAACTTCTAATTCTGACAAAAAGGAAAACAAGACCCCCCCAAAAGAGTACTTTTTAACAGAAATTGCTTCCCTAAGAACACAGCCTTCTATCCACGTTCTGTTTTTAGTAGGCAGAAAACAATATAAAAACAAAAAGCTGACTATCTTCCCTACAATGTATTTTTCTTTAAAGTGATCATAACAAGACACATTTTGTCAAGACGGTGAAATATTCACATAATTTTTCTGTAGCACATCAAAATAAATATTAGCTCATTTATAATTGGACATTTTGAACTGGTAGCTTGTTTAACTTCTAGCCCTGGTTCTTCTTTAACAGCAATGAATTGTTCGTCTGAAGATGAGAAGCACCATAGCACAGAAACTCTCTCAAAGAAGCTTTCAGAGGTTTGTCAATTACGGAAAGATATTGATGAACTGAGGACTATCATTTCAGACTGCTATGCTCAGGACATGGGAGAAACGTGCATTACACAGTGATGACGGGCTTGGCCTCATAGTAACAATTAAGTTATTAAATGCTGCTCTAGTTTTAGTTCCTCATGTTTCTGTTAAAAACAATACTGGAAAGCAGATTCTGTGCCAGATGGAAAGGTTTCATACATTTGTGCATAGTTCATGCAGGTAATATGGTCTTCTGTTGAAGAGATCATTATGTGCTGCAAGAAAAATCCAATTTCTTCAAAACTACTGAACGTAGGTCAAAGCTGTGAATAATGTGTTTCTTTTGAAAATGGTTTTTATTCCCTCTGTTATGCCGACAAAGAAAATACAGGTAGTCCTCATTTAACAACCATTTGTTTAGTAAACGTTTGAAGTTACAGTGGTGCTGAACAAAGGGGCTTACAACCGGTCCTCACGCTTACATCTGTTGCAACACCCCCGCTGTCACGTGATCACGATCCAGGCTCTTGGAACCAGCTCGCACTTGCAACGGTTGCAGCGTCCTGGGGCCATGTGATTGCCATTTGCGAGCTTTCCAGCCAGCTTCCAACAAGCAAAATGGGGAACCACGTGATTCGCTTAATGACTGTGTGATTTACTTAATGGTCACGGTGATTCACTTCAAAAAAAAGTCATAAAATCGGGCGTGACTCACTGAACAACCACCCCACTTAACAACAAATTTTTTAATCCCTATTGTTGTTAAGTGAGGACTACCTGTACAATGTTTTCTGGAATAACAATGGAATTGCCAGAAGAGGGCACTATAACAGTGGTTCAGCAAGCTTTAGGGTAGAAGATCAGGACTGAGAATTTTCATAACAGATGTAGTTGGATTTGCTTGGCTATTTGTGGATATTAGAACTGTGGATGAAGATAGAGGCACAACAAAGATTTTTTTGGATTCAGGCAGCACTGATGGCTCGGGGCACATTAGGTAAAGATTATATGCTTCTTAAAGATTGCCTTCCCAGTTTGGTAATGATTGTTTTATTCTGCATTTCTTGTGTAATGCAAAGAGAAAAAATGATGAAAAAACATTCACATTTCAGATAAGGGATTCAAACTTAAAATTAATAGTTAATAGTTGATGACTAACCTCTTTTGCATTAATTGGCTTGAAAAAAATTGGTTTTGATAAAAGATCTTAAAAAATCAAAAACAGTATGACATCTTTATAACAATAAATATTTACTCTTTATTTTGAATTTGGCAAAGTAGTTTCTTCTGAATGTGAATATTTGAATTCCAGCATACAGAAAACCTGATTTCTTCTGGCAATCTGAAAGAGCAGATCTTGATGAATAATTATAATATATTTGCTCTAAAATTAGGTCACCACTGGCATAAAAACCTTATGTGAAAATAGAGTTCTTGACTATTCAGGCAAGTTCCTCTTATTGTGAGAAGAAGATTGGGATGAAATCAGCAGTGCCAACCCTAATAGATGCAGTGTTAAAATGCCTGAATTAAAGGCATGCCACTTGGTAATCCAGGTTTATATATTTTGCTGTTTAAACATCATTTTTGTCAAGCCAAGCCTGATACCACTTTATTCTGATAATCTACTCTATAAAAAAATGAAAAAAGAAGAGGCAGAATAAGATGCATTATGCTCATAGTTATAGGTGCCATAATGTTCATAACTTTAGTCTTGCCAAAAGTTGCTGCTTAAAGAGCAAGAACAAATATTAAATGTATTACCATTTTCAATTTCTTACATTAGTATTTTTCCTTAAGCAATTTTTAAACATTGATTTTTCACATTTTGTGTAAGTTACATTTAAATTTTATTTGTATATGATGCAGTTTTTAAAAAGTTGACCTTTTCAAAGTTATATTTATTTAAATTGGAGTTTATTCCTACTCTGCTGGCTACTATCTGTGAAAATTTATTTTAATATTGAACTTAACTATTGCTCAGTGGTTATAAATGCACATTTGTAAATACTACATAGAAGCAGCTAGTAAAGATAAAGATACTTAATCCTGCTGATTGAGGCCTGAATTTAAAATACTAAAGTTACAATCCCAAAAGTGTTACTAAGAAATAAAATTGAGCAGTATTTCATCTTACAGTTATAACTTTAAATTCATATCTATGCAGATGAAGGGGTGAATGATCAGAAATAATTAGCTGATTCACTTTCTCACTAATGAACAACTGAGAGCAAGACTGACTTTCTTACTATTCTGTGCTGTTAAGAAGCACAAATGTCATTTTATGATACTAAATGTTCCCATTTTATATTCTACTTGACCTTGTATCTTGCAAATAATTTGGAACTGCAGTATTATTTTACTGTTAAGAAGGAATCTTCCACAGATTTAAGATAGAAGTCGTTTGTGGAAGTAGATTTTCAACATATAATTGTCAAGAAATTTCATGTTTACATTGGCTGCAAATAACAGATTTTAATTCACTAGTTAGCTGGATTGTTTAACTTCTTTCCTTTAATAGCAACCAATCAGATTTGGCTACATTATAACATCATGGTGTCATATCTCCACTTTTACCCTGAATAGACAATCATTCAGTACTCAAGGAAGAGCTAATTTTTGAGAGATTATCCCAGATACCTGATACTTTTGATCCTTGCCCAGACATTTGTTTAACCTCTGTAGCTTAACAGTTTCAAACATATTCATATGAACTTTTTAAAATAATGCTTTAAAAAAAAAAAGTAATTTTGACAAATTATTTTACAATCCTTATTTTTAAAAGTTGATATTTTTGCTCTAGAAATAAGAATTATATCATAAGAAATGCCTCCTAATATGCTGTAGAGCAGTGTTTTTCAAACTTGGCACCTGTAAGAAGGGTGGACTTCAACTCCCAGAATTCTCTAGCCAGCATTCTCCCAGAATTCTGGGAGTTGAGGTCCACCTTTCTTACAGTTGACAAGTTTGAAAAACACTGCTATAGAGGATACAATATTTAAAATTAATACATCAGCAAAAATAATAATGTAATTTGTTTAACAAAGGTAATATAATTATTTCATTTTAATGTGCATGTATGTATTCTTGTGAATACATAGTTACAACTTCACTGGGCAATTTATTAAAAGTAAAGCCAATACTCTACAGCACTTTTGGAGACTTGCTTTAATGTTCATCCCATCCTTCCACTCATATCCAGTGAAAATATGAAGGTGTTGCACATCTATTGTCAACAGCCCTCAGTGGATGAATAGAGGAGATCCCCAGGATTTTAGAGAAGGCTTGTGGCTGTACATCTGCGTGGCCTTCTTTACACTACCAGCACATGTAGTGTTGGGAATTATAGCTAGTAGCTATGGCCCTATTTTCCTCTCACACATTCATGGAACAACTAAAAAAGATTGTGATTTCTGACATTTTGGCCTATCTGACAGAAAACTGGCCAGTAAGAAGAGTATGCAATGAATCACACATCTGTCCAAATATTTGATGAATACTGCTGAGTGGAAAGTGCCAGGCATTTGTTCCTGCTTTAAGTAAGGGGGAACCTAGACTCATCCTCAGATGCTAGATAACAGGGAGAAGGCATCTACAGCTGCTACTGTGCAGGTTATCTAGAATATAGAAAGAGATTTGCTTCTCCAGTGAAGGCTCTAAGCACTGGTAATTAGTTTTATGTATCTTATGAAGTGAAATAGTCAAAGATGGTAGCCAAAGACAGAAAAGCAGAAGGTTAGATTAAAGGAGCCATAAATGCACAGTATCATTTTATTAGTAATAACTTAGTTTTGGTAGCTGAAGAACTTACCAGTTTACAATGGCTATTCAGTAGTTTGAGTTCTGCATAAGATATGCATGAGTTTTTTCAGTGAATACGTGTGTGGCCCCATTCAACACATTTTATGAAAAGTGGTTAACTAATAATAGCTTTTTAGAAAAATGGTTCACAATGGCATTACTTACTAAGTTGATTTAGTCATGACAACCTTTTCCCACAGATACAGGAGATCATCTAAAGGGCTGAAAAAGTATTACTAATAAATAAAAGATAGATATGTTTGTCAGCAAAGATGAAGGCAAAGAATTACATGTTTCATATTTTGAGGCTGCATTTCTACAGTTGTGTAGATGGCATTCTACAGTAACTACTATAATTCAAGAATGTATCTCAAAAAGGAACTGAAAAAGTTGCTTTCATATATGTCTAATGTTGTTATTTATATGCCATTTATATGTACAGTGTTCAAATTTAGTACTGTAGTATAAACTTGATTTGATTTGATTTTTTTGTCAAGCACGGCAGTGATCCTATTTGGACATTTACTTAGCTCTGACAGTAATCCCCAAATCAATAATACTTCCCCATTATATAAGGGTAGAGTTAGGTGTTAAATACTCACGTTTTTGGAATGTAGGTTTATGAGCACAGTAGATAATTTTTCGTAGGTTTGCCATAATCAGTCACCATGGATTGAGATATTTTTAAAAAACTAATATAAATGAACCAAATTTATTTTTATCTCTTTGATTGTGAATTCATTTTTTGTTTATTTATTCCCATCCCACCCCCTTGGGAAAAATGGTGGAAGATTATTTCTTGCTAGATTCTAGCTTGAGAATGAAAGGATAAAAGATGAGGTGTTCATCAGTTTTAACCTGCCTAAAACTTAAACTGGGGCTAAGTTCACCTAGTCCCAAAATTTGTTATTCAGTAACACTTCTGTAAATCCATATATGTTTAAAGGTAATTCTAAGCATAAAAGAGATATGACACCATATTCTGGATTTGTTTAGTGTTTCAAAAAAAGACAAAGTTACTACTTTGTAAAAGACAATGATATTAAAAAATAGGTGAATCGGTCAATAAATCAATAGCCATTAGAGTATTATTTCCATCTCTTTGTAACTCTGTGCCTTTTATTTTGTTTACGGCTTAAACAATGACATTTTTAAAAGCTATGAAAGTATCAAGAGTTGCACTTTGTTTCCTCTGATTTTGAGACTTTTTAGCTTGTAAATGTGTGAGAAAGACTTTCGTAAATAGAAATATTTTCTAAAAGTTGTAGGTCAACTTTGAAAACTTAATCTGATCTGTATTTACCAGCTATTCTGTATATGGTGGAGAATATGCAGGAAATTCAGTCAGAATGTCCTCCTTTTGTGTATATTAGGTATATCATTGTTATTCAGTGGCAAAGGCAAGGGAAAAGGGAGTCCTCCTTCAAAGCACAGCAGACTTAAACTGGATCAGTTTTCTAATGCTGGTAGTTTTTCAATGTTGGGTTCAGTTTTTGAGCCACTCAGAATACCTCATGTGTACATAGAGTTGTCATGACTTAAATCGAAATGCATTCAGTGTTGTTGCTGTTTTTTAATTTTTATTTTTAAAGAGCCACTGGCTGGCTCATGTCTTCAGGCCTGTCATTCTTGCCTATCCTCTATTTGTAACTTTTTTTAAAGTAGCATTTACAGCTAGAATTTTGAATGCCAAAGTTCTATTTATTACATGATAAAATTTTCATTGTTAATTACTAGTATTTTTCCACTCAATCTGTTTGTTTGATGTTTGAATTTGTAACTGCAGAACAAAAATAAATTTTGTTAACAAAAGCTAGATATTTTCTTTGTTGTTTCTAATTATAAATATTATGGTGTCATTGGGGTAAATGTTGTATATCATCTTTGCTGTCTGAAAGCACAAAAGAATATTGTCAATGAATGGACATGAAATGTAATATCAAATGCAGTCAGATGCATACAAGTTTTATTATTGTTGTGGTTGTGGTTATTATTATTAATAGAGCTTCTCACTTGAAGTTATGCATTGGTGGCAAGAAATACTGTAACCTCTGTGAATTGGACCATGGGATCAAAACAGATTCATGCTGCCTTTGCCTCATTAGAGAATGCTGTGGCTACTTTGCAGCAAAGTTTTCTGGAAAATGTGATTTCTCAAATATAACTAGCTAAGAAGGACATAAGGAAAGCTCCCTTGCACTCCCTCAGCACTGGAGCATAGTATGGAGACAGCGCTATAGTTGCACTTGTCTATAATTTTTGGTGGAACCAGGATGGGGGTGCTGCACCCATCCTAGTACTCCTTGATCTCTCAGCAGCTTTTGATACTATTGACCACAGTATCCTTCTGGACTGCCTGCAGGGTTTAGGACTGGAGGGTATTGTACTGCAGTTGTTTGCCTCAGTGGTAGTTTCCAGTTGGTGTTGATAGGAGGGGAGAGATCGTGCCTGAAACCCCTCACATGTTGGCTGCCTCTGGGTTTGACAGTCTCTTCCCCTTCTGTTTAACATCTACATGAAACAGTTGGGTGAGGTCATCTGTCAATTCAGGGTCCAGATCATCAGTACATAGATGATACCCAACTGTACCTCTCAGCTGTGGGCTGCACGTGTGAAATTGTCAATGTAACCCAGTATCTGGAGGCTGTTTGGGTCTGGATGGGGAGGAACAGGCTTTGATTCAATCCTGACAAAACTGATTGGCTATGGCTTTTGCCCCCCTCCCCTCACCCAGGTCAGGGACATTTTCATTGTTTTGAATGGGATTGTACTTCCCAATTTAAACTGGTACATAACTTGGGGACCCTCCTGGACTTGCAGCTACTGCTCTATGGGGACCTTTACACAGGTTCATCATGCTCGCCAGTTGTGCTGTCCCTTGATCAGGAGGCCCTTCAGACAGTAATTTGCACTGTAGTCAACTTGTGACTAAACTATTTCAATGTGCTCTACGTGGGGCTGCCCTTGAAGACCATCAGGAAGCTACAGCTGGTCCAAAATGCAGCA